AAAAATAGAAGTACATGCCTAACCAGTATAAAATGCATGCAAACAAGACTGACGTTAGAGTCGAAAATTTACTTAAGAGGGGCAATCATTAAGACTAATACGAAAAAAAAAAAAAAATAGCAAATAGCATAGTGGTCTTTATAAGATTTTGATTTTTAAAATTTTGCGGGACTCTTAAGGTCTTTTGTGAAATTTGAAAATTCTCAGTGGATATACTTTTAAAATTATTAAAATCTGTTCATAAAAAATATAAATAATAAAAAATTCAGCAACCTCTATTTCCTCCACTGAGCATAACATCGGCTCTACCATTGTGTGCCCCTTGGCCCATTCTGGCTCTACCCCAAGTTACCAGTGAGAGGGATGCCATGCTTTTTATTACTACTCATATTAGTTATATATTTGTATATAAGTATTACATACATGGGCACTCCACTTTTGTACAACTGGACTCTATTTTTGTTTTTTTAAAGAAATAATAAGAAAGTCTCTACTGCATCGTCATCATTTTATAACATCATATTTACCCTTTTCACTATAAACTTTATCTTTTCTTACATTAATTATTTTTTCTTACTATTTGTTTTGGTGAAAGACAATTTATTCAACTGAAATTATGGATTCAATTAGGGCATATTTACTAATCATTGCAAATCTTTATCCAAATTGAGAACAGTCTTTGTGAATATTTTAAAATTAATCATACTATGTCATAGTTGTATATAATACCATCTACTGTTTTTATTATTATTTTGTTATTTTTCCAAAATCCATGTTCTTGTAATTTTATTTTCAAAAGAATTAACAACTTTATTTAAACTTAAAGATTCAAAGAAATTTCAAATTAATTCTTAAATACACATCCAAAAAAAAAAAAAAAAAAAAAACCAAAGTAAACCCAAAGCATAAAATAAAAAATAATTTTTTTTAATTACTATTCCCATCACCAACCAAATTAATTCTCAAAAATTACTTTGAAAAAAAAAATCCAAACTTAAACTCAAAGCATAGAACAGAAAAACAAAAAAAAAAAAAAAATTAAAATAAAACAAATTACCATTCCTAACATCATTAGCATCAAATGAGTATAATGCTTCATCAAGTCTCAAGAGTTATTCAATGTTTTTGAACGATTACTTAGAAAGACATGAAGTAAGAGAGGAAGGGGTGTTAACAAAGATATGGGATGCTAAAACCGTTAATTGGGAGGAAGGAGAAACAAAAATATTTTACCATAATTGAAAAGGATTATTATAGTATTTGAGACAAATAATTATTAATTTAAACTTAAAGTCAGAAGTGTCATTTAATTTGGAGTGCAAGCATGCCTCCTACGAGAAAGTATATTTATTATAATCACATGTATTAACTACTAATTACTTGCAACATTTGGTAATTAGTTGTTTAGTTGTAAGTAGCACTAAGTAATTAGTTGTAAAAAAATGAGTATCAATTACTAGCAATTATATAGAATGAGTATATTCTATTATTAGATAAATTAATAGTATATCACTACCTACATAACTTAACCCAATTAAGATATTTTCAATTACATTTCAATCTGATTAGCCAACACTGTTCTAGAACACCACCATCAAATGGGACAACGATACTCTCAATTTATTGTTGCTGGTTTTACAGGCATCCTTAAAGGATGGTGGGATAATGTTCTCACTGACATTCAGAAGGTAGAAATATTTTCAGCCGTCAAGATTGTCAAGGATGAAAATACTCAACAAGAAGGCCCAGCTGCTAATGCGGTTTACACTCTCATCACCACAATTATTTAACATTTCGTTGGTCCAGAATGAGCTAACAGTGAAAGGAGTAGAGAGTTGTTACAGAATCTAAGATGTCCATCTTTAACTCATTTCCGGTGGTATAAAGATGTCTTCTTACCCAAAGTTTTACAGCTTCGTGATGCAAATCATGAACATTGGAAAGCAAAATTCGTGGATGGTCTTCCTACCTTTTTTGCTGAAAGAATCAGAAAGAAATTAAGGGATATGAATAATGGAATCTCTATCCCCTACAGAAACTATATCTATGGTGGATTAGTTAACATCATAATACAAGAAGGTTTAGCTCTCTGTAATGATCTGAAGTTACAGTCTTAGTTAAAACAACAGAGATTAACAGGGAAAAAGGAAGTAGGTGAATTTTGTGATCAATTTGCCTATCAGACTCCTTTATCTTATCCTAAAGTTAGGAAAAGAAGGAAAAGACACAAGGCTAAAAAGCCTTATAAAAAGAAATATTCCAGAAAGAAATATCAACAAAAGGTTGATAATTCAAAACAGTACACTAAGCCCAAAAGGAAAACCTATCCAAAAGTAAAGGGTAAAGGAAAGCTCAAAACAAAGGCTAAGTGTTTCAAATGTGGACGGAAAGGCCATTATGCCAATAAATGCAGAACTAAGGAGAAACTTAACAGTCTTCCAATCAGTGAAGAGTTAAAACTCCAATTGAGCAAATTACTGCTTAATACTAGTTCTTCTGAAAATGGATCTTCTGATTCCGAGGACATACTTATGGAATTACAATCTTCCTCTTCCTCTGACGAAGAAAATAGTAATCCAGAATGTTCTTGTCACCAGAAGAATGACTATTACAAGGCTATTGTTGAAATGAATGGGCTCAGTTTAAATGTCTTAACTGCTCATTAACAATCCTTGTTGGATTTTATAGATCAAGTTCAAGATCCTCAGATTAAAATGAAGATCTTTGAAATAGGTTATGTAATTGCACAACCTCAAGAAGATAATGATAACCCAGACTTTCTAAGATCTGAGAATCATTACAGCATGAAAGAAGTTCTAGACAGATTAGAACATAAAAGCCAAAACTCCCGTCTTGCTAATCTTCCAGATTTAAGGATGGAGGTTAACAATTTAAAAGCTGAAATTCGCCAATTAAAGATCCATCAAACCAATATGGATTTGGAAATTAAGCTTTTAAAAGACAAGGTAAATCATGCTACAGAAACTTCTTCCTCACACATTGAAGTGCCTAAAGATAAAAATTATCTTAATCTTTTGAATCAAGTCACTTACCAAAAATGGTATATCTCCATTAATTTGGTCATCAATCAGGAATATACTATCACTAATGTTGTTGCTTTGGTTGATAGTGGTGCAGACATGAACTGTATTCAAGAAGGATTGGTTCCTACTCAATATTTTGAGAAAACCACTCAAGGTCTTACCAGTGCAAGTGGTGGTAAGATGCAGATTAAGTATAAGCTTAATCGCGTTTTTATCTGTAAACAAAGTATTTGTCTACCATCTACCTTTTTACTTATTAAAAACATGGCACAACAGTTTATTTTGGGTACTCCCTTTTTAGCCTTGATTATGCCAATTGAGAAAATTGATTATCATGGAATATGCTCAACTTTACAGGGTCAGTCAATCAAATTTGAGTTTTTGACCAAACCCGTGAATAAGCATATCAATGCTCTTAAAGATAGCATTATCTTTAAGGAAAAACAACTGAATTATTTGTAAAAGAAAGTCTCTTCCTTAGCAATTAATCAAAGATTGGTACATCCCACTGAGCAACAGGAAATTGAGTTAATACGACAAAGTTTTCTGAAGGATATCTGCAGTGATGTTCCTAATGCTTTTTGGGACAGAAAGAAGCATGTTGTTTCTTTACCTTATGAAAAAGGATTTACCGATCTGATGATCCCTTCCAAAGCTAGTCCCAGCCATATGAAGGCTGACTACTTGGAACTTTACAAAACTGAAATTAGCCCTTTAATGGAAAAGAAGTTAGTTACAACAAGTTATTCCCCATGGAGTTGCAGAGCTTTTTATGTTAATAAAAACTTTGAAAAAGAACGAGGAGTTCCTTGACTGGTTATTGATTATCGACCACTCAACCTTGCTTTGAGCTAGATTCGATACCCAATTCCAAACATTAAAGATCTGTTAGATAGGTTACAATCTGCTATAATTTTTTCTAAATTTGATCTTAAATCAGGATATTACCAGATACAGATTGCAGAAAAGGACAGATATAAAATTGCTTTTTGTGTACCCTTTGGACAGTATGAATGGACAGTAATGCCCTCTGGTTTAAAAAATGCCCCTTCAGAATTTCAACATATTTTGAATGACATTTTTAATCCTTATACTGAATTTTCTATTGTCTTTATTGATGATATTTTAATATTTTCAAAATCAATAGAACAACATTATAAACATTTGAAAATTTTCAAAAATGTTATTTACAGAAGTGGTTTAGTAGTTTCTGCTCCTAAACTAAAAATTTTCCTCACCCAAGTAAGATTTCTTAGTCATGAAATTTGTGATGGAAAAATTAAACCCATTGACAGAAGTATTGAGTTTGCCTCTAAATTCCCTGATGAAATTAAAGACAAAACTCAACTGTAAAGATTTCTTGGTAGTTTGAATTATATTCGTAACCATTACAAGCATCTTGCACAGGATACAACAATTTTACATACACGGCTCAGGAAGTCACCTTTCCCTTGGACTGAAGAACATACGAGAGCCATCCAGAAGATTAAGCTTCGTGCTAAACAGATTCCTTGCTTAGCCCTAGCAAATTATTCCTGGTTTAAAATTGTTGAGACAAATGCTTCCAATATTGGATATGGTGGTATTTTTAAACAAAAGAATCCAGAAATTCGCTTCACTTCAGGATCTTGGAAAAATACACAATTAAATTATTCTACTATTAAGAAGGAAATTCTTTCTTTAGTTAAATACATTTATAAATTCCAAGATGATTTAATCAATCAGAAATTTTTGTTACATATTGATTGTAATGCTACTAAACAAGTACTAAAAAAGATGTTAAAAATTTAATTTTCCAAATAAATATTTACTAGTTGGCATGCTGATTTATCTCACCCATCAAAACTCCAACTTGATATCGATGTCGTTAATATCATCAGCCCCCCAAATTAGTGTCGGACTCCTATCATTGCTCTTACTAATAGGAAAGAGGAAAATTAGAGACAAAAAGTCAACTACATGAAAAGACCTGCTCCATGCTGATTGGTATTAATCAGTGTAGCAGTAACTTCCACTTCTTTGAGAAAGTCCTCAACATAAAGGTACAAATTTAATGGTTTAGTTTCAAATGGAAGTTCACAACCAAAAGAAGAATGAACAAAGTCCAATTTCATTTTACACGTTCCCACGGCAACAAGAACCGGATGACACGGAGATAGGGGTGAGGGAGACGCAAGGTTCAGCGCAATTAGCCAGGCCCAACCTTGGGAATGTCATAATGCTCACTCAGATTGGCCAGATATTGGTTGAACTCCTGAATCCGATCACGGTGAGATTTTCTGGTAGTCTTGGCCAGCCTTTTGATATCGATCTTTTCCCACTGCTGGAGATACCGTTTCTCAGCTGGCGTAAGATGATCATCATACTTAGCAGCCTGTCCTTCCCCACCGTATTTCATGTCATCCTCACTCTGATCTGTAGACAATCCCGTATTTCCAACTGAAACCCACCAAAAATGATGAAAGAATTCAAGAATCAACACGAGGAGAAACATATAACAAATGAACCAACGGAGACACAAATCACAACGAGAATAAAGGCATTGAATGAGGATTAATGAAGACTGTCAAATACTATAAATGCCAATTATAAAGTGAACAAAATAGGGAGAGTGCTTAAAGGATACTTTCAAGATCTCTGACATTATCTTCCCCTTTTTGTCTAATTGTTCACTGAGAAAGTGTTTTTACCCAAAAATTGTGAAAACAAGATTCTCATCCATCACATCAACTTCCCAAGCCACCTTTTTCATATTAAAAGAAATATTCAGTGTACTAATTGACATAATACTCGAGCCACATTCACAAAACCTCGCAGAATGTACCACAAGAATGATTTTCAAATGAACCTGTACAAACCCAGAGATCTACTTGAACTATTATAATGCAGCATTTCTGCTATGATTTATCTCTTAATATAGCTCGGGCCACCGGAGGTAATTACAACGTATGTATGCATATATACAAACTGCAAGGGGGAGGGGGAATAACAATAAACAATATAGATTTGTGGTGTCAAAAACTGAGCTGAAATTTTATGTATACGCAATTCAAGTTTTGGGAAAACAATCAAACAAGTCATCACTTTCGAACTCAGCTCAATGACAAAGGAAAAGAATAACATTCTTCACATTATAAGAGGGCGCCAGTAAGTCAGTAACCTGTTAAAAGGTCATTCCCCGTGACTTGAGATAGATGGCCATAATGCTTGCTGTGTTTCTTTTTCTTTTTAATCCCATCTGCCTTCACATGCAGTGCTTTTCCCTTCAGCTTCAATTTCTCAGCAACAACGGTCTCATAAGCTGACATCTAGCAATCAATCAATAGTATGAAGGGCTTCGCATTAAATTATGGAAAGTTCTAAACATTCAACAAATTAGAGAAGTGGATAATTAAATGGAACTAAATATATACAATCTACAGTGACAGTATTCCGTATAAGAACAAGGGCAAAGCAGTAATTTGAATATGGCCTACTTGGGACCTCAAAAGGTCACAATTGGGTTGAGTCAAGTCTTAGCATCCTGACAATTCTGGAATGAACTGTAATAGGTCCATGAGTCATAATCCGGTCAATATATGAAATCTTAAATGTAATCTATTTGGTTTAGACTTATCTTAATAGTCTTAATTTTCCAGAATTTCCATTTTGAAGTCTTAACCCTCATAGAAGTAGACATTTAACAACCTATATCTATCTATACAAGTTTCCTATATTGGACCTCTCTTTGCTAAGATATGGAATAGATTTTACCCTACCCCTAATTTCCCAAATTATAAATATTAAACTCTATCAAATAGAGCTCAATTCCATGAACTTGAGAGATGCTATTTGAGGGTGGGAGTGATTGGGTCATGCACACCTATCTAGAGGTAAAGCTTTGGGGTTCTAGCTGAAAATCCCATAATGCTCTTGTTTCTTCGTGTTCTCATCTTCTTCTTCTTCTTTTTCTTTTATTTATTTATTTATTTGCAATCAACGTTTTACTATAATCATCACAATCAACCCTTAGATTTTTGGTGTTTATCATACCCAAGCCCTCAAATCCACAACCCTAACTCTTATGTTGTTTGAAGTATACCTATTACCAACACACTTATTTCTAAATTTTGGCAATGTATAACCAAATCAACCAACTGTTCAAGCAGCATTCTGTATCTTTTTTATATTAAAGTGAAAAAATCCAACTTCAGGATCTTTAAATTTTTTTACTTTCCCATCATTTGTATAATATAATTCCTGCTTTTTCCACGGAAACAATGTTAAATTCACATAGTTTAAAACATTGATGTAAAACCATTAGGACACTAATAAGACATTGGTTAAGTTAAATGACAGGTAGAATTACAATAGAACATCTATGCTTTCTCCAGCTTCACCAAAGACTACTTGAAAGGCTATTGTGCTTGCTCTTCTAGGCTAGAATCCTAGAAAAGCAATTGAATACAGGTCAAACTAGTAAAAAATCTAGCCAACCAATCAAGCTACATCAGAGGTGCTGTGGCAGTTTGTTTGCTATTGTATTTTTATTTTATTATTATTATTTTTTTAGTTTTGGCTATGAAAGCCCTTGCAGAGTGTTAAAGAACTAAAAGAGGGAGCTGAGAGAGTTTGTAACAAGGCACAGAATGCGTTGTGCGTGGTTAAGCACACTTGTAAAACCCTATGACCATCTGATAATACATTACTAATCTCCTCATAGACACTCGGTCAAACCATGCAAATCTTGTGTGCTTTTGTGCTCTTGAGTGTTTGTCGTCTGATTGTATCAGAGATTTGGTTTAGACTTTAGATTGCAATTAGAGATGTATACCAACTCCGAGGTGTAGAAGTTTAATGGCAAGAATAGGTTCAGACTCTAGCGGAGTAGAATTAAGGATCTCTGACTACCACAGGAATTAGGGAAGACACTACAAGGAGAATTGAAAAGTCTGAAAATTGCATGATGAGATTGGCAAGAACAGCTTCAGCCTCTAGGTGAAGTACCCATCCCCAGACATGTGTATGGAATACATGTCCAACTCTTTTAGTTGGATATGCACCTAAGAAACATATCTAATAATTCAATATTATTATGTTATTACTTCAAAATGAATGTAATGCCAATATTGAACACTAATTTGCATGAAGATATTATTTTACTAAGATATTATTTTGCTCTAGCAAATAAATTAAAGATATTAAATAATATTAACATTTTGCAGCGTCCATATGTCTTCCTGTTTGGAGATTTGACACATCTCATGCTTGGATTTGCAGGAGTTGTGGCGTGTCGTTTTGGGGAAATGAGAGGAGGGTGGAGTTCATTGGAAGTTAGAGATCCTCGGGGGGTGGTGGTTTGGAAATTTATTCGGAAGGGTTGGGATGATTTTTCCAAGCACATTCGGTTTCGTCTTAGAGATGGGAGGAGGATTTGCTTTTGGGAGGATGTGTGGTGTGGAGATATTCCTCTTGCTCTCACCTTTCCTCAACTTTACAGGATTGCTTCGGATAGGCAGGCCATGGTGGTTAACTGTTATCATCTTGATAATGGGAGACTGGTTTGAGATGTTCGATTCAAGCGTTCCTTTCAGGATTGGGAGATCGAGGAGGCCATTCGTTTCTTGGAGTTGTTGTGTCGCTAGAGGATTGTGGAGGAGGATTCGGATTGTTGGTCTTGGGTTGCAAACTCTCAGGGGCGTTTCGAGGTGAGGTCTTTCTTCAGGTGCCTCTCATTAGTTCCTGGAGTTCGTTTTCCTTGGAAGTCTGTTTGGCGTTCCAAGGCTCGTCTCAAGGTGACTTTCTTTGTGTGGACTTCGGTTCTGGGTAGGATTTTAACCCAAGATAATCTGAGAAAGAGAAGCCAGGTGGTGGTCAATCGTTGTTTTATGTGTCTTAGTGATGAGGAATCGGTGGATCACCTTCTCATTCATTGCTCTTTGGCTAGAGAGTGTTGGGATTTGATGCTTGGCTTATTTGGTTTTTCTTTGGTTATGCCAAGATCTGCTAGAGGGTTGATTGAGGCGTGGAAAGGTTGCCCTGTGGGGGCTCTAAGTCAGGATGCCTGGAGGGTTACGCCGCTTTGTGTGTGGTGGTGTATTTGGCTTGAAAGGAATAGGAGATTCTTTGAAGGAAAGGCGTTGTCGATTTCGGTGTTTAAATTCTCGATTATTTTCACTCTTTTTTGTTGGGTTTCAGAGAGAGATCATAGATCGTTGGAGGAAATTGTTGACTTTTTGGCCTCTTTGAAGGCTTGAGGCCTTTGTGGTATTTTGTATTTTTTATTGTATTTTCTTGGGTTCCGCTCCCCTTCTGAGCATTTTTTAAAATGTTTTATTTATCAAAAAAAAAAAAAAGATTTGACACATCTCATGCTTGGATTCATACCCACACCGTACAGATGTACTCAAGTCCATGTAACATAGTATATAGACACTATGATACTATTTAACTATTCATCAAAAACTTCTAGTAATCATAATCTTACTAAACAATTTTGTTAATAAATGAAGTAATCATTTCTTAAAAAGTTCTAAGCATTGACAGGAATACCATGGTCCAAATCATTTCCTGTTTTAAACTCACTCAATACATTTCTCACCTCACACAACCTAATCCTACTAAAAAACCTATTTACTCCAATCTCCTTACAAGTAATCTTCTAAAGCTACACTTCATATAATACTTTCATTTAACTTCTTATGCAACTATTTCACATTTATTTAACCTCGTCATCCTTCAGCAAAGACCTTTAAATACCCACTTATAAGGCACTTATTATGCTTATATTCTCTAGCTTTCATAACATCAATTCTATCTACAATTTTGTATACATGTAGCATTCTCATCCTTTTCCTATATAATCACTAAAGTTTCCCTGTATAAACAATTTCTCTCTTGTTTCATTTGGAAGCATAAAATCAGCATCTTGGAATTGAATTTCGAGAAAGTTTAGTTTGAAGTTCGAATTAATTTTCCTCCGATTCCAACTCCAAGAATCCATTCTACCAAATATAGCTTATATGTATTTTATAAATAAATTCGTTAATATGTTCCTAGAATTGTGCTTTATTACATTAATTCTAGTCGTAATTAGAATGTATAAGTTATAACCACTAATAATATCAATCATATTCTCTCAATACAAATTTAATTATTAAAAATTATTATTCCCACATGAATTTTATTTTTATCTTATTAAAGTTACATAACATATTCTACCCTCGTTGCTAATCAGAGTGTACTATCTGGAAACAACTTACTTTGCCTGTATAATCCAGATTATAGCTTTAAAAAAAAAAAACCCTAACCCACCTTTCACATTTGACAGCCAATGTGATGCCCCTTTGAAGAATATATTGTTCTAGCAAATACTAAAAAATTCTCATTCTTCATGTTCATAGTGCTTTTACAATATGAATGCTTAGTAAAAATTAAAATTGGGGCCACTCAAAATCAAAGGGAAACCTGAATATATGTATCTATATATGCAAAGTGTGTCAACTGTAGACAATTCACGTTCCTTCTAAAGTATGATCTTTGTCCTTACACTAGGGAATCATTTTCTGAATAATTAATAAATAATAACTACGATAGTTGTATTGGATGACTAAAGACTTTGGCATTTAATGTTTGAAAATTTTATCATATTTGGGATGATTAACAATATAAAATAAAATCATGGAGGAGAGAGAATGAAATCTTACCTGTTAAGACTGTAAGCTTTCTCAGTGATAACACCGGATAGAGAGACCGACGAGGGAGGAGGACACATTGCGAACTTTTATTGAATGCGATGTTCGCGAAGGTTCTCGTTTTTGCTGGTGATTGTTCCTCTTTCATACTATACTCTTTTAAAATATTTTATTTTATTTGGTTTCAGGAATCATCTAGACTCATAAAATAAATGTGCTAATTAAAAGGCCAAAGGAATATATATATGTATTTATTTACTTATTTAACCTTTCCAATTTAATATTTTTTTTATAACTTATAAAAAGTAAATCATAGTGAGGATTGGACAAATGGAATTGCTTCTCTAATAACTCAAAAGCACAAAAAATTGCGGTACAACGTTTTAGGTGAAAAAAAGAAAAAAAAAACTCTTATAAATAGTAGAGATTAGGTTTAAAAAGTACGGTTAAGTGAAATTAGGAATTGTAATTTTTGAAATTGCAAGTAGAGGTCCATGTCTTTAAGTAACTAATTTTTTTTTAGACAATTTAATCTCTTTATATTTTTTTATAAATATAATTTAATCCCTTCTACAACCAAATAGCAAACAATATCTGGGACTCTGTAACAAACGAAAATCATTTATTTTGGGACTCTCGAGCCCCTTCCAATCTTGGTTTATCTTTGGACTCTGAATTATATAATTGTTAAATATTTAATTTTTAATAAATTATGACTTGTAATTTGTTTTTAAAATAACTATACTACATTTATGCTATTATCTTAAATAACAAGTAATAAGATTATTAATTGTGGTCAAAGTCTTTAGTTTTATTTTATAAAATGTTATCTATATTGCAAAACAATATATTATTAAACTTCATTATTAGATAGCATATGAGCAAATTTACTTATTTTACCGGAAGATCCCAAATCAGATATAATAAACAAAATATGTGATATTTAAAAAAAAAAAAAAAATCAATACAAGTTGATATTTAATTCTTTTATAAATTATTGAACTCAATGAAATTTTATAATATTTAATATTAGGAAATTAGTATATGTTTAGTATAAGGGTAATATAGTAAAATTAGTAGCAATAAAAGTATTTTAAGCAACATTATTACCAAACAAATTTTAAGATGCTTCAAGTATAAAAAATGTTTTATACAATGTGTCACCAAATGCTTAACTGCATTTTACTGATATCAAGCAGCTTTACTATTAAAAGCACTTTTAACATTCTAACAGTAATTCCAAACGGGTTTAGTGTCAATATAATAAAAAAATACTAAAACTTATTACCTTCAAATATTAGATCTCTAAAAAAAAAATATATATATATTTATTTTGGGATGGAATGAGTATAAATTTTTAACTCTCCAACCGCATTGTATTTGCTAATAATTTTCTCTTTTATACTTTAATTTATTTTAACGAATTACTATATTTATTTTAGTTTAAAGAATGACTTTAGAGTACCATTGAATTTTTCTGCCTTTTTCCCTTTCTTTCCACTTGGATTAAGTTAAGAGCGTGAAAAAACCGGTATTTACTTTCCCAACTGTCTTTTTTTTTTTCGGTAATTCAATGTATTAAAAACCAAACAAACACTAATTAGTGTATAGTATTACTATTTCCAAGTGTTATTTTTTTTTTGGGGTAATTCAATGTGTTAAAAACCAAACATACTGTACAAAAAGGGAAGGGGCCAAAGCCCAAAAAATAAACCAGCCCAAAGGCTCCCAAAACACAGCCCACCCAATCACTGTATAACAGTTTTTTTTTTTTGATGACCCAGAACTCCATGAGGAGTGGCCCTTCGGACCCACCCTCAAGGCACCAAACTGGGGATACAGTAGCCGGCCTCATAGCTACAGCACTAGGTTAGTCGAGGGTGATAAGGGAGACGACAAGGTTCGATCACTGGCCTCCTGTGTGGCAGCTCCAAGCCTTACCAATCTGTCCAAGCCTCCAGGGGCTGAATAACCGTTGCTACACCGGCAATTTGAAGGCAAGAGAAAATGGATTCACCGATCAGATTACTCCTCACACTTACGTGGGTTATGGAGATTTTGATGTTGGTTCTTTTAAGCCAACACATGTCCCACAGATTTTTGAACCCAATGAAAAGTAGGGTTTGGTGCCCTCAACTTCATTTTCACCAGAGTGAAGTGTGGACTCAGCCACATACGACTCAATCCCACCGTACCGCGAGATCCATTCTATGTGTTGCTACACTTACGCAGATGGTTTGTGCGGTGCTAGACCTCCTCAGAGGCACCGCCTCGACTCTCGTTCTACTTTGGGCATTTGTTTTTGTTAACATAATAAACATTACAATTGCTGTTGTATGGTGATCTTAGCCATAATCTTAGTCGTGATTATCGCCATATTTTAGATATTCATTGTTAATATGTAGCCTATATTATCATTATTTACATCAATTCAATATATTCTTTCATATTATATATCTGTCTCTCTCTTTCTGTCTCTCTTTCTGCCTCTGATAATCAACATGGTATTAGAGCAACCGCCAGAGACGGCGGCATAAGCCCCATGGCTACCACATTTGCCATAAAGTGGTCTTTATGCTCCTGTGCGCATCTCAAGTGGTTATACCACTTTATCAAGCGGTAATCCCGTTCTGTCATACGCATCCGTGCGCCTCTTAAGTGGTAAATTCCACTCTATGATTCCATTCTAATATTTGCTTTCAAGAGCTCTCTCAAAGCTACTACACTTGCCGTAAGTGCTCTATCATGTACTTCTAAACACCTTAACGTATCGGATCTTCACAACTCCGGCATTGCCTTCCGCTCCAGATTTTCTCTCAAAACTCAAGTTGGTTTCTACTCTACCACCTCGAGTTTGAGGGAGATGTTGACATAATAAACATTACAGCTGCTGTTGTATAGTGATCTCAACAGTTTTGATGTCAACGCTTTCGGTCTTCAATGAGGCGTGGAGAAAGTCCAGTGTCATCAAAGCTGGGGATGGGGTTGCCGGTGTTGAGTTAGTTCGATTTCTTTGATGGAAATATTTGGATCGCTGTGGTTCTCTGGTTTTGGAAATGTCTCTGTGAGGAGGTGCAAGATCTTTGTCGAGCCGCCAACAACAAAAACATAAATTATTCTATTAATTAACACCACCAACAAAGATTGTTCATGACTAAAAGACTTACTAATTCATCTTAAATCATTTTGCGATCTGTAAGTTTTACACGCACCCAAGCAATATACCAGCGGCACATCCTATCCACAGACCAAAATCCTAATCAATTATAAGACCTTGATCAATTATGGTCTAGTGGATAGCAATATACCGGCGGCACATCCTATGCACTAGACCATTTTTTGATTTGAACATGAGAACCAAAATGTTCGATTGTTATCGCAGATATCAAAATATTCTCGGACTATTCCATTTCACCCACCTCAAGCAAAGGAAACACTTTTAGTATCACAGGCTCTGCAAGTACTTCTGTCTAAGGCTCCAAATCAAGCAATCTAGCAAGTCCAAACTCAAATCAAAGATGCAGATGATCTGCAACAAAAGAAGACGGAGCATTCAAGCAAATTCCATTTCCAGCCTAAACAAAGAGGAAAATTTGAAAAATAGTAGTAATACCTGTATAGTATGACCGTGATCAAGAGATGAGATTCTCTAGTGATGGTATTTTTGTCCTTTGAGGATGGTCCATGCCCTATAAATCAAACCATTAAGCATTCATTAATCTTATTATTTAATTGAAGAGAATGATATACAAGTAAAAACCTTCACATAATTGAGCATAAGTTTCTTAAGAAGTAACATTTAGGGAGAAGTAGGTTAACGAGTGAGTTACACGGTCCTCAATACCGAACAATATTGCTTCCTTATGGCACTGTGTAACATTCCAAAGTAAGATTAAACTAATTCATCTTACCTGCAATGTTGTTCAGTTTTTCGTCAAAAAACTCTTATCTTTGGAATCAAGAATAATCAATATCCCCACAAAATGCCACGGGGGTCCCTCTAGGACCACCTCTATTCCCTTGGAGTTATTAGATTTAAAGAAGTAGAACCCATTTTTCATGAGTAGAAGCTCTATGAAATCATGTTTTCCCCTATTTTTAAGATGAACTTCTAACGACCATTTACGGACTTACTTTCAGTACAACACAACCATCTATTTCCTCTCGAAGCTCCTCCACACTCCCCGTCCTCGAGCACTGCCTTAGAAATGGATTTGGATCTAATACAAATTGTTCTTACAAAAATGATTAATTGCATTTGGATCTAATACATGATAGTGTGAACTGATTAGCTGAAGCACTTTGCGCATTGTAACATGTGTTGTCTTAAGAGGCACTCCAATATGTAAGTTATTACAGCACAATCGCATGCACTGCAATCTCACGCTGAGTGAGTACTAAATAATTAAGAATCTTGTACCATGTCATTGCTGTCAACTCCAATTTCCTGCGCCATTTCTGGTTTGTTAGGCACATTCACCAACTTCAACTTACCCGAGTACGCATTTTCCCTGATTCTAACTTCTTAAAACATGGACTATCACCATTTTGAGTCTGGTTTTTATGACAAACTAACTTCAACAATTTCATCCTCATACATACCATCCTCTTTATGGTTCAAACAATATCCCAGAACATAAGCTGATCCTAAGGTTCATCCTCATCGTGCTTTTCTCCATTTTTATCCATCTTTGCTTTCTCATTCTGGCAATTTGATCCTTGGGACCTTGCAAGAATCTTGAGAACTTTGGGAAACTTGGATTTGGGAGACCTCATGATTTGAGTGTTTTGTTGATGAGACAAGTGGCGTAATGATTTGATATAGTGGAACTCGATTGATTGACAAGTGGAAGTCAATTGATCAAACTATTTTTTGAGGCAAAAAAAAAAAAGAAAAAGAAATCAGGTGACAAGTGAGACACATGAAAATTGTGTGACCATAAAACAGGTTAATGCAGAAAAAATAGTCAAGCAAGAATGGCCTCTCATTAAGCAAACTAAAGAAGACTCTAAATTAGGCCAATTGAAGATTTAGAAAAAATGTAATGGAAGAAGAAAGGTAAGAAGGCAAACCCATCCCATGTGCCTTTCTTTTAACAACACCAAAGGGTCTCTTAAGCAATGGAAATGGTACTAAGACAACATAATCATTTTAAGAACTTGATTGGGCAGTCACAAAGGAAGATGAATCTAAAGTGGTAGAGATCCACCTTCATGAAGTATTCTAAACAGGCCTTTAGCTTTTCAAGTTCATATTGGAAGATGCACCTAGAACCAAGGAGTGCCTCTGCTTCAAATACCCTCGTGAAGCTAGGAGAATATGTTGTAATGTTCTCAAGTAGTGATGTACTTTAAAGTCATTTGCTATACTGTTTTTGTGCTTGTAATCATATTAGATTAGACCCAAAGTGCAGTTTTAAATCAAAGTCTGACCTGTAAAGTTGCTCCACAAGTACAGCTAACGCAATCTGATGATTCAAGACCAAAGATGACAGCTTAATTGATACATTAGCTCGTTCTCGTAATTGTCTTCCATGACCATAAGGTCCACCAATGCAAAATAATAAGCTTGAAGCCCCCTGTTAAAAGATAAATGACAAAAAATCATCCACAAGGATAAATTCTGATTGAACTAACTAGAAAAGATCACAAATGACATTACTACGACATAAAAAATGTAGAAGTATAAATAATGGCAGAACTTAGGTCTATCTCCAGCCATTCCCTCCCAACATCCCACGAAGGAGAGACTAGAACTGAAAGATAGTCTTTCTTAACAATTAGAATATCCAAGATTGATTTGATTGAGGATTTATGATTAAGATTTTCAAGTGTAAGAAAAGGGTAGTAATAATCAAATTTCAAGTTGGCAATTGAAGTCACAGCTCTAAAGACAAAAGCTTTATACAAGATATCGGATTTAAAATGAACTTCATACCGTGTTTCCTGCATCCCCAATTAACTCAGCCATCTGCTCAGACTTGATGTCGAGTCCATGTTCATCCAACATCACAACCTACAAGCACATGATGTAGAAACATATAAGAATAGTGCATTAAGTTTCAAACTCAATATATTTGCAACTTCAAAAATAGTTTGTCCTAGGTCATCATCCCAAGGAAATGGAATGATTTCATTTTGTATTCTGCAGCATATGAAGGTAGAAATCTATCTTTTTGGATGAAGATTTTGGAGGATATGGAGCCATCAACACAAAAATAGCAGGAATGTCATTTTTAATATTATAATAGAACAATTCCATGCAAGCAATAGAATCAAGTATTGACAGAAACCATGAAAGTGTAAGGACCCATTCAAATGCCGGAAATAGGCCATTTTGTGGCTCGAATTTGGGAAGTTCCATAATCACCCAAGTCCCAAGCAAACTGAATCCATAAGTTCATTCATATCATGAACAAAAGATTCAATATATGTTAACACCATTAAAAAATACTTATAAGGGCATTAAAAAATAATTGGAAGTAAATGATTTTTCAGCTTCTCTACCAATTTCTCCATTCTTTGTACTTTTGTGTTCCGAAAATGAAAGCTTTATGTTAGAAGAGTATTAAATAGATCAAGGATAAGGGCGTTGAGATTGAAAAATATTTTCATATAGAGGACAGGATAAGCATTCTTTAATGAAAGAATGTTAGCCATATGCTGAAGAGAAAAAGTGTAACTAGTAGATAATTGTTGCAGGCAAATTTTAGAGCCCCGAGGCTAAAGAGGGTGAACACAGAGAACTTGTTTTATTACCATCAAAAGGTCAAAGCAAGGTAAACAGTATACTTTAACAAACTTGGAGGCAGAGAAGGCTCTTTACACAGAAAAATAGCTGAAATAGGCAGCAATTTACTTCAGCCAGAATCTTATCCTGAAGACACAAACACATAGGCACTCGCTTGACAGAATGGTATTTCAGGCTCTTACTCTCGAGCAGTAAGATTCAGTTCCACTAGAAATTCCGCGTTGAGGGTTCTTTTGAGTTGGATGGATATAAAGCTGATAAAAACCTGAAGTACTAGGCCACGGTTTGCCTATGTGGCATCAGTGGGAGTCAGCCATTAGAGCGTCCAATTGAGCTTTTGAACCCTCATTCTACCTGAAGTGCAACAAAGACCATCAAATGTGTCCTGACATCAGCATCTGTACCTTGAGTCATACAGACATCAGCACCCGTACAGACATGTGAGTCAAGACCGACATTGTTCGGCTTTGCCACTTCATCCCGATCATTATGGGTTTTTCTAAATTTTTTTATTGCAAAACACGTAAATAGAAGTGAAATTTGTTTATGAAAACTCCATATGAACAGTGAAATGAAACTAGAAAATGTTCATAGACCCATAAAAAAGTACTTCAAGAAGCTAAGATTGAAATTGACAAAAGGAAAAACACAAGAGAACATTTGACTTGGTAATGGTATCAGTCTATAGAAGCTGAACTAGTGTTTATCACATTTTTGCTAAAAGGGTTATGTTGGGGAGGTACTAAAAATAAGGATACAGGCAAACCAAAAAACTGAACTATCAGCGTGATCCACCCAAATGGTGTTTGAGGTTATACCCAATCGTCAGACTTGATGAGGTACATTAAAGCCATGTCTTCATGTTCAATCTGAGCCATCACGTCACTGCCACATTTGATAATATTGAAAAAAAATAATTTCACTTCATTGGAAAAATATGAAATATATATATGTGTGTGTGTGTTTATATATATAGCCATTAATTCTACCATACTTTATTAAATGTATAAACACAAACTTCAGATGCTCATGAAAGAACATGTAGATAGGAAAATTACAAGCAACAAACAATATGCAACCTTGTATGGCTATAACTACAACATTGCATGCAGACATTGAAAAATTTGCATCATGATATATGAAATTAGTTGATAAAGATGAATATTGCGCATTATAACCATTTGATGGATGTAGATTTCTCTCAAGGATACAACAGTATTTAATTTCTTAGTGCACCCATCAGCTAAGCATTGTGTCCATGGGATCACTATTACCTACTGTTAATATGTTAGGAAAAGCTCTATGCCAAATCAGTAAAAGAACAACTCATTTAGACTCACCAATTTGCAATTATCTTCATGCCCTTGGAGTAATTTGACTGCCGTAATTCCTTTTGAATTTATGGTCCACAAATCTTGCCCGTTGAAATGAACATCCATTTAAATCACCAAAGGTTGTAGCCCAGTGGTACTTCCTAACCTTTCAAATTAGATTGTGTGAGCTTCTTGCCAAGATTTATTTAAAAAAATAAAAATAAAAATTTGAGCATCTATTTCTTTTCAACTTCTACAAACATAAATCAGGAGTTACTAATTTTGAATTGACCCAACAAATCCATCAAATGTGGTATTGCAAAATTTCAATGGTTGGAATATCAACTGGTGAATTTTTTATACGAGCTTAGTAATTTTGAAGAATGAAATGACTTCAATGGAATCCATCTTAGAAGAAAGTTACAAGTGACTTAAAAATTATCTTTGACTTGCATTACAAGAAAGAAAAGATATTCTTGCTGCTAGAAACATTGAGAAACCTATACTATAGATTGGAAGAATGGATAGTAAAATTTACTTTAATACGAAGGGGTTAATAACATGTTATTCCTAATATCTATACAAACCCTGAAATTTTGTGGGAAAAGGCAATATATGACCACATAGTGTATTTCTACAAGGAAAAAATTTCTGTGCCTAACATGACTGCTTGAAGAAAACTTGCTTTCCTTTGAAAATGGTACCTCTTTGACTGTCAAAATCACCAGAGAAACTGGGAGTTCCACATCCAAGTTCCAACTCTTCTGGTCAATGGGATAAGCATTAATATCCTCAGTAGCAGCCATCAACATTTTAAAGCTTTTCGTAATTTATTTGCTGAACCTTCTGTAAGGTGTTCTTGTACAAGAAATAACAACCAAACCCACATATAAAATTATTAAACATGGGTTGGGTCCAAAATTAAGATGAAGTGACATTGTACAAGAAAACAAATTTAAAGGACCATGTGCCATGTGCGAACAAAAAAGTACCCGCAGATGCTGGTACTACCTGTGGCATGACTGCCATCCGCAATGGTAGATGGGGAGGCTAGAGGGGCTGCCTCCCATGGGAGAAGGTATTGGGTGCGCCCAGCGCATCGTGCACCGGGCTCATCCAAGCCGTACGTGGTGTTGTGCATGTACGGCTTGGATGAGCCGGTGCACCGTGCACCCGGCGCACCCAATATCTATTCCTCCCGTGGGCTCAGGTTGAGCCATTGTGCGAGTATGTCTTGAGTTCCTTTCCCTGGTCATCATTCCGATACCTCGATGGAGGGGGATGAGGAATGAAGAAAAGAAAAAGGGCTCTCGACACACTCCCAGGGGTCACAATAGTATTCCAATGACGAATTATCAGAGCTGAGACGCAGCCTCAATGGGATGAGCACCCAATATGATGCCACCAAGACCATCACATAGACTGTTTGGTGAAGTCATCTTGGGGACACAACTCCAAATTGCAGCCCATACGCTATGGAGGCACCTCTTGCTGTAGCATAACTATGCCCCAGCTCGCGTAGCTTTTCTTAGTAGATTGAGCTCATACGCCATGATACCTCCCAATACACTTAAGAAACCTCTTATGAGCTAAGGCACGTGTCATCAGGCTGTAGGCATGGCGCGCAATGTCTCAGTCCCAAGTGAGCATGGTGTGACACTAGTTGTGAAACGTCATGGCCCCAGGCAAAGAGGAGGGTTTGTTGAGGCATGGAGGATTGGGGTTCGTTGAGACAGGATAATGCAAACCAAATGACCTGTGACCCCTGAGGGAAGGGCATCTGTGTCTCGATCCAGGAAGTAACAAAAAGAAGGGGAAACATTTGCTCAAAGTTTTATAATTATGGCCGCTACATTATGTAGATATCTTGCTTTTTGTCTTTTTGATATCGCAGTACCTTGTATAGTTGATTTAATATTAATAGGTTCCTTGAAAATCCCAAATCCTCACCAATGTGCATGATTTTCTCTGTTAATATAACTGAGTCATTTTAATCAAGGATAGCTCTTGGAACCTCAACAATCTTTCCACTAAAATAAAATTTAACAAGAAGATTTTTTCTTATAAATAGAAATTGAACAATAAGATTTAGTGTGATGTTGTGGCCCAAATTTTGTTTCAGCCCAAGTTGCGTTATGACACGATTTTGACCCGATGAATTGGGGGAATTTTTTGACTTGATTTCTCTTGCGGGTCGCGGACCCTTTTTAGTACTCTCTTGTAGCCCATTATATAAGGGCGTTTAGGGTTTTTGACTGGGATAATGAGAAAAATTGTGTTTCTTGATTTGTTCTTGAATCGCGGTGTTTTTCGTAACATTTAGTTATATTGAAACTAATTGAAACCAAATTATCTATATTCCTATATTACAATTCAACCCATTTAGCTAAACTGAAGGCTAATGAACCATGAATTACTAAGCTCAAACTTTGTAGTTTAGGGAATGAATATCCACTAGCACTAGTCAAAAATATGGAATGGCTTATGCAAACAATTCAGAGATCTTTATAATTTTATTGAACATGGGGACGACAATAAACAACAGTTTTTTTTGAATGAAAGAGGCAAAAAAAAGCTGGATGACAGAGTCCAACTTCAAAATCCTAAAAACGTCATCAAGTGTCATTACTAAGAGTCCTTTGTCTACTTCCTTTTCCACAACCTTTGAAACAGGGCAACTGTATCAAGCGTACGCTAAGAGTGACACATTTGACCAATAATACTAGAAGAAATTCACACCGCTCCCTACTTAAATGTAGCTTGAGGCAATTTATGAAACACATGGCATAGTTAGGTACTATTCGTGTAAAAGTAGTAATTATAAATACAACAACAATTTGGATTATCTTATACTATTTAAAATATATTGTTAACCTAAGCCTTAGTAGACCTTATCTTCTATGGCAATACAAAAATCCAAGCAAGAAGCCTCTGTGAGACTTCGGGAATGTGTCATACTTTATAGGAAAGAAAAAATCACCATGCAACTCAGTAAAGTTACACACACGACTTACATTTAAAAATCATGAAAACCTTACACAAAATTGTAGTATTGCAAATTATCATAAAAATAAAATAAAAAACAGTCATGAAATATGAAAATAGTTGAGTGGAATGGTGACACACCGGGCATTCTTAGGATTGGATCGGATTTGTACATCTTCAACGCGGCAATAGTGTTTGAGCTTCTCAGTGTACTCATCAACAATTAATTGTACACCGCGTGATCTATTTTTCCCCACTGTCAATATTCGTATGGGTAGTGCTCTCTAGCCCATGTCCAAAATAAAAATGAATTATCAATATCAAAAACCTCTATAATCACAATAATGTCAAAATTAACTCAATCATCCCAGTTCAGATCAACTGAGTCCAAAAATTATAATCAATATTCAAAATTTCAACAATTGGGTGAGTCTTAAGTTCATTGATACAATCGGTTCAACAAAAAGGACACTTATTTGCCAATACAAAATTAATAACTTTCAGACATTTGTTGATAAGAATAAAGTAGATTGTATGAATAATATTAAACAATGTGGAGATAGTTTACCACTGATTGACCTGTGTATTTGCATCGTCCACCTGAAAATTTCAATCAGATTAAAACTCTTAGGGTTTGAAGATATATATAAACTACTTCACAATTTTATCGATTATTAATTTCTTTCGAAGTTTTAGAAAGTCATATACGTTGCCAAAGAGGAAATGGAAAATAGTAGGAATTAGAGTAGAACCTGGTATGGGAACTGAAATCTTCGTGTTGAGACCGGCGGAGAGTGAGAATGCCATTTTCGAGATAGAGGGGAGAGCGCAAGCCCTTTTCAAGGGGCTGCGGGCAAGCTCTTTTCACTGCGTTAGGAATGGGCAAGAATGTAATTAGCTTTCAAGAGAAAAAATAAAAGAAAAATAGAAAAATGAATAAATGTGTTTGTTTAGGCATGATTAAAATTGATTTGGAATTATGTTATTATGTAAAATTAGATCGAATTCATAATTCATTTGGAGTTGAATTCAAAATAATTTACATTTAATTGCCATCTAAAGTATATATATATATATATATATATATATATTGCAATTTAAATTATTTTTATTATTGTTTTATTTGTATATACGTATATAGGGAAAACTTAAAAAATTGCTAGTCAATTATGCTTATTTTTCAAATCTGCTAACTTTTTCAAACTATTAGGCTTTACAATTAGTTTTTCAAACTAATTACAAAATTATACAAAAACATAGGCCTTGTTTGAATTTTATCTGTGAATTACTAACAGTTTTTTCAAATTGAAAATTTGCTTCAAAACAATTTTTGAAGAACAAAAACTCATAAATATGCTTTGTTGTATCTACTTAAATAAGTTTTATGAACTAATAAAATAAATAAAATATTACACATTCCTCTTTTATTTATTTAATTTATGATGTTAACTACCCAATGCAATAAATTTTTTTTTTTTTTTGTTTACTAATGCAATATTTATTTACAAGGGTTGAAGGTGCATTTATTTAAGTTAGTATTCTTAACTTAATAAAAATTGCACAAATACAACATTACAAATTCAATTAAAAAATGTATAGGATTCGGTTAAATTAAAATAGAGTAAAAGAGGCATATGAATCACTTTTAGTGTCATATGTGCTTTTAGATGTATAATCATTAAATTTAGTTATACATAATTGTGGAGGGAAATTTTTTCACCGACACATGTTCGCAAACCAAACAAGAAGTCCAACCTAATAAACTGAACTGAGGGAAGAAGTCCAATTCACAACAGCCAACCAAAATGCCAAGGAAACGTCCGAAGCATTGAATCAGCCCAAGAGGTGAGACCAAGCCAAGCAAGCCCATTTAGAAGCCTTGGTTAACGAGAGTAACGTCCGCAACAAATCGCAAGGAATCAGAAATTGATTGAGCCCCATGTATGGAAAGCCCAATGTTAGCTCCAAAATGATCTCATTGTAACAGATATAAATATGTGGCAAGACCCAAAATGATTTCATTGTAACAGATATAAGCGCCCTTGTTCTTCCTTATATTGCTTTCTCTTTCTCTTTTTATTCATTGATTATTTGTTTTCTCAGCAAGTGTTTGAGCATAAAGTTCTTCTAATTGAACTGTTGTGTTCAGTTCGATCGAAATTGTGTGCACCTACAATAATCAAAAGAAAACATTAAGAAAATTACGTAAATAACTAACGGATCGTGGCATAACTGTATCAGACTCTTATTTTTTAAAAAGAGATTAAAAATTCAAGACTAAATAATTAATTATTAAATTTAATTATACACCAAAATAAATATTAGAGAATTACAAAAAATATTTTCACCTAACATTGTGTTGAATGATGCCCATATTTCAATCGGCAGGTGATTTGTATTGGGGCGCTCTCATTGGTGAAAAAGTCCCTTTGAATTTTTGTGTTCTATTACCCTATTACGGTTTACTGCAAAATTTATCAAAATGTCCAAATCCACCTCAACAACAAAAAAAATACCCAATTTATCATACAAAACTGTCTTTGTATATGCTAGATTTTCTTTTAGCAGTAGAAAATAAAAAGACTTTTCCTACATTGACAACTCATGTGGCCCTCATTGGTACACATCCACCAAAGAATTCTTCCATAGGCCAAGAACGCGCCACGTAAACTAGACTACAACAACCCCCACGTGTCATCTCCCCAACACCTTAAACCCTTTCTTTCTCTCTCTCTCTCTCTCTAGAAATCCAAACATGACAAGTATCATCCGTTTCTCACTCACACCACTTCTTCCCTGGAAAAAACTCACCTTCACCTTCCCATCAAATCCTACCGTTACAGTCTTCCATTCAAATCAAACCCATCTCCTCATTTCAATCCTCTCTCATCATCATCGCATCATGAACAATCCCGCCAATTCAAGATCATTTTCTGCAACACATCAGGTCCCCGAAGTGAGCCCAGACGAAATGGACCGAATTGCGGACCAAACATTTCAAAGGTACTCGTCGTCTTCAATGCCAAAAAGAAGTGGTAAAGGGGTTGCTATTGTTTGGTTCAGGAATGATTTGAGAGTATTGGACAATGAGGCTTTGTTCAGGGCTTGGGTTTCTTCTGAGGAGGTTTTGCCAGTATATTGTGTTGATCCTAGACTTTTTGGCACCACCCATCACTTTGGCTTCCCTAAAACTGGAGGTATATATATCTCTTTTATCACATTTCTTTTTATATATTGAATGGCCTTGGAATTTTTTTTTTTCTTTCTTAATTTAGTTTGGATGTGTTATGCATTACTTGGGTTTTTATATATTTGAGAATTTTGATTTAAAATTTTTTTTTTGGGGGGGTAATTAAGCTATTACAAACAGAGAAAAAAAACTATGTACAGGGGAGAAGAGGGGCATAACAAGCATAGACAAAAGAAACTTGATTTTCTGTTTTTGTTTAGGATTTTAAATACTGGGCCAAATTATTATTTTTTGTGTGATAATGTTGTTACAAAACTTCATCAAAATAAATTGATACACAACTTTTAACTCCAGAATTTGATAAATTAAACTTTAAGATGCTTTCAGCACTATAAATTTTCTAATTTATTACTCTTTTTCATTAATTTTTGGCCAGTAGAAAAAAATATATATATACATGAAATAAACAAACCATTAAGACGCGTGCAACATTTTAAAGCAACAAATTATTTTTTGACACTCAAACTAATATATGATAGTGAGTTGTAACTTGCAAGTTAGCTTGGAAGTTTGAAATGAGAATATGCCTGTTTTGGATGACTCGGCTGAGGCTGGGCTATTGCCGAGATTTGAAACACTGGTTCCAATAGTTCAATTTATTATCATTATTATTGTTAATTTTGAAGACTTCAGGGTCATACTGTATATGTTCTTCTCTGTTTATGGTAAAGCAAGTTCAAAATCCTAGAGAGAACTTCTGTTAGAAGAGTCTATGGCTGTGTTTGGATAAGCTTCCTGTTGTGAAAAGTCCTTTCAATACAACGGACTTTCAAGAATCACTTATACGAAGGAATTTAGAAATAAAAAAGGCGTTTGGTTAACCTTACTTTTGAGAGCTTCTTTTATGTACAAAAGTGATTTTACTCACGCGATATGTGTTTGGTTGCAAAGTCAACGAAGTCCTTCTACTATTAAATAACTACAAATTTACAATAATATCCTTACATAATATTTTTCTATATTCTATTTGACACAAATATTGAATCATATCAACAGTTTAGTAATTAAAAAAAAAAAAATTGTAATTAACATAAAATTAAAATGAACAATTAGATAGAACACTTCTACCACTAAAAATGGATACTTGATATGTTAAATATTATTTAAAGAAGATAATAAATTTCCATTTATATATAAAGTAAACATGATCAATAATTTAAATATAGAAGGAAAATAACATATTCAACAAAAATGAGAATAATTTTGCAAAAGAAATGAATTGTGCTATGATGCACTTAAAAAATCATGTCGAACCTGAGTCCGAGTTTTGCAACTTATGAATTGTGCAAAGAATTTGCAGAAATTGAAAGAGCTACGAAAGATAATATATATAGCTGTAGCATTTAGAGAATTGGAAATTTGTTGAATAGGAATCTTAGTCCTAAATTTTCTCTCGGAATTTTTTTTTGCCCCCCCTATTCCATACGAAATTTTTTTGTATGAATTTTTTCTGCCCGCGCAATTTTTTTTGCCCGCCTATTCCATACAAATATTTTTTGTAGGAAATTTTTTGCTTATTCCATAGGAATTTTTTTCCCGCATATTCCATAGGAATTTTTAAACTCTCCATAGGAGATGAAACATGCCAAAACTCTTCATTGGTCAAAGAAATTCTAGAGATTGATAGAGGTGAACTTACATAAACGATGATTCGATAATGGATTCTAGGGCGGTGGCAAATTGGGAATGGAGAATTTGATGAAAAATACTACGATTAGGAGTGTAGCAACACTCAAATTCATCTTCAAAATCCTAAATACATAATATTCTCCGGCAGAAATACGAACACTTGTGGGCTGAGTAACTCTGTGGAACTTCGGCGAGAAAGGAGAGCACGCGAATTTTCTTTTTCCTATTAGTTCGTCATCTCCCCGGCAGACATAGATTGCTCTTGTAATAAAATTGAGAACGAAGGTTAATTTGGAAAAAAATTATAATTTATAAGGTCAAAATTGTAACAACAATATTTATCACTTAAAATCCTCCTTGCTTCCCGAGAAGTGAATTTGAGAAGCCTCATTTTGTTGCTTCGGTAGAACGGACTTTTGAAGAGTTGGGCTTTATAAGGAAGCCCTTTTAAAAATATTTACCGAACACTCACTTTTTTGTAGAATTTCTTCCTGGGCTTAAAAGCCCGTTTTGGAGCTTCCAGAAGCCACGCCAAACACAGCCTATATCTTTACTTTCCTCCATAGCCATGAACTTAGATTGAGGCTTAGAACTACCTCTTGCACTGAATTTATCGAATGACTTATAGTTTTGAGTTTTACACAAATGTGGTCCCTTAGTGTATTGTCTCCAATGTGTGAGATATGCTACTCATTTGTATGGCAGCATTAGATATAGTATTGAAACTTTTACTTGCAATACTGCACACAATCCTCTTCAGTCTATTGAGCCCTAGGTTTCTCTATAGTTACAATATTAGCTCCAACACTTTGATGTAGGAGGTCTACAACCTAATTCATGGTCCGCAAACTCGCATCCAGTAATTTGAAGGAAAGATTTCGTCCTAATTTACATGTGGGGATAATTATTACCAGCAAAGAGGTGAATGGGAGATTGAACCATCCTATTGTATGAATTTACCACCCAATTTTATTTATAATATATTTATTATTACCTGCTTAGACCCCAATTCAGAGGATCTAAAGGGCTTGTGGGTCCATAGGACTTAAGAGGGGTGAATATGTCTCTACGAATATTCTTTTATCTAATACCATCAAAAATTCAGTTTCATTAAACACGGCCATTAAAATCCTTTCAATCAAAATAAATAAACTAGCTAACATCATAAGGAACCGACATGCTATTACATGGAAGACCTTAAAAGAAAAACCATTAAATTTGTCTAATCTACTATGAGAAAATTCAGGATTACACTCACTGATTCCAGACTTGACACACATATCTTCATCCTCTAAAACTTGTCCTTGGATCCTCAAAAACTGAACTCTCATTCTGCCATTTCACACTAGCGATTGTCATCCCCCTTTGGACCACAAAACTTGATTGCATGAGCAACATAGCAATCTTTAAAAGTTTAAAACTTGACCACTAATGTCAATGTCTCTAAACCTCTAGAGTTATTCTCCCTTAATCGCATTCTTCAGTCTTATTCTCTTGCTATTGTATGTCTTTTCTTACTAATGGACAAAGTCAAGTTGATAAATATAGAGAGTTGAATTACAAAAGAACTAAAGTGTGTTACATACAGACACTGGTTGAAATTAAATCGTTCAGCTGAAAATTTGATCAATACACCACATACTGGTTGAACCTGGCCTGGTCCAACTCTGGACTTTGACTAGTGCAATGTGTACTGGAATATCTTGGACCAATCCACTTATTAACTCGATCAGTCCAATGCTTACATGGATGGATAGATCGTATAAAGCTTGATGGGTTCACCTATCCTTTCCTTTAACAAGCTTTCTAACCAATTGCAAATAGAAAACGTGTTTGTCCAATGTCAAGGGTCAATCAAGGATCTTTTACGCTGACTAAACTAGCATTTATTACTTACAGGCTTGAAGTCTTGGTATTTATGTCACTTACCATTTTGAAGGCATGTGATTAAAGAACTTAAGTATGTATTTTCTGTCACTGCTTTGTGTAATTAGATGAATGGGAAGGCTCAATTAGGTTGATGAACAAGCTGATCCAATGCCAAGTGTCAAAACCCACCTAACCCAAGCTTAATGAGGCTTCTTGAGTTCATTCAATATTAAACTATGCAAAAGTATTTTGCTAGAATGAGCTTTCCAGTATATGTTTCTGTGTTTTATCAGCATTGAAATCGTATATTGTTTTTGTCACTGATATGAATATTGTTGTAGGCTGGTGAACAGTAAGGCTCAGTTAGATTCATGAACAAGCTCGTCCTCTGCCAAAATGTGACAACTTACCTAAGCCTAAGCTTAATTGGGCTTCTTCAAGCTCAGTTCAGCTTAAGCTTTATACGAGTTTGATGATGCTGAGCTAGGAGAAAAAATGTCTGCTCAGCCCAAATAAACTAAAATTTCTTCCTTTTCACTGCCAAGAATACTAAAATATGCAGATAAATCTGTATTCTATGTAACTTTTTTTTTTGCATTGCTAAAGTGGATTGATTCACTATTGATCCTTTGTCACTGCTACATCTTTGATCATCCATGATCTCCTTGATCGATCCGTGATCTCCTCAATAGATCGAATTTTTTCCCGAGTCCTTTGATTGATAGAGTGATCCACTCTGTACAGAATTTATGAAAAACTGTATCTTTTAAAACCATTTTTGCATGCATTTAAATATTTTAAACAAAGTACAGAATACCAATGTTCGATATGCAACCGTTGTGCTGCCTAATGGTGATTAATCCACCTTATGGAGTTGATTTCTACCTTTTTACCTTAAGATCAAAGCATGTCTCTTCACCATTTTAGCTGTGGTCGACTTTGGATCAGGAATATTACTCTTTTTACATCACTCAACTGAGAATAACTCTACTAGATTTATAAGCTCTGGCATTTGTTACGGAATTTGCCAACCATTTAGGACACTGAATCTAACATCTTGAAATTTAATTGTATATCGTTTACAATGAGACAACTTAGGATCTCATTAAAGCCTTGTGAAATTTTCTTCTTTGGCAGCTTTGAGAGGGCAATTTCTCATAGAATGTTTGGCTGACTTGAAAAAGAATCTGATGAAGCGGGACCTTAACTTACTCATTAAACATGGGAAACCTGAGGATGTTCTTCCTTCCGTTGCAAAAGCTGTTGGAGCCCACACAGTTAAAGAATTTTTTCACTTGCTTATTTTTATTAATTTTCTAGAATGGATTATTATGATTTATGATGTCTTAAAACAACTCTTACTTGAGATAAATAATGTGGGTATCTAATGTAACAGGTGTATGCTCACAAAGAAACTTGCAGCGAGGAGCTGAATGTTGAGAGATTGGTCAGCAATGGTCTGCAACAAGTGGTGCTACCGTTAACTCCAGGGCCGTTGATCCACACAAGTAGTACAAATAGCACTAAACTACAACTGATATGGGGTAGTACTATGTACCATGTAGATGACCTACCATTCAGTAGTAGCTGTTTACCGGATGTGTATACTCAATTTCGCAAGGTATTGTTCTTTCTATGATTTTGAATCTATCATACTTTCGGCTTATTAGAAGAGTTGTCCTCAAATGTTTCCTCTGTTTTCTGTGAAAATACTCCCAGTCTGTTGAATCTAATTCTACAATCCGAGGTTGCATTAAGATCCCAACGTCACTTGGTCCGCTGCCTAGCATCGAGGACTGGGGATGTGTTCCTACAGTTGATCAACTTGCACTTCATCAGGAAAAGGTAGGTTTTTATATGCGTATGTCAAGAAGTGTGCATAAATAGTCATATAAGAAATATAGAGCTAAAATTTCTTTGAAGTCCATTTCCTTTGATACAGGTGAACAAAGGAATGAGGTTCATGGGTGGGGAAAGTTCAGCACTGAGTAGAGTGAATGAATATTTCTGGAAGAAGGCAAGCGAACTTTACTTAGATTATATTTACAATAATACTGATTTTGCCAAGAAGGCATGGGAAAGAAATTAAAACCTAAAATCTAATGACAAGGTAAGGTTGGTTTTGCTGACTGCTTTTCTTTCCTCCTTTTATTTTTTTATTTTTTCTTGGAAAATAAAGCACAAAAGAATTGTCAATGGTTCATTACTTCATAAAGAGAAACACTTTCTGCTACTATTTCCTCTTAACACTCAAACAAAAAAAAAAAAAAAAAAAATAATGATGTATGAAATTTGGTACCTTTAACAAGGGTTGAGATAAAGGGGAAAAAAACATGGGTTGAGATGGTAAAAATTGAAATGTGATGGGCTATAAGAAGTTTAATTCTCATCTGGAAATGCATAGTAACCATCACAAATAGTAGGAATCTTGCTTATTTATCTAAACTTAGTTATAAACAACACTGTTTGTTCTAGATGGATCTATTGAAAAAAAAAATACTTGATTTACCCTTAATTTCTATAACTTAAGATTTTAGATCAGTTGGTTATTGACATGTTTCCAAAGCAGGCAAGATAGTGTGCACAAATCTTCCTAACTACCTGTTGATTATAATAGAAGCACATGAATGCAACTGTTGATGATGTAAATAAGTCATTCAATAAGTGCTTTAGAGGAGTTTGTTGCTAATATAGTATCAAACCCCATAGGTTTTGTGTTTAAAATAACCATTATTAGATACAACACATTCCCATGAACATTCCATTTTTGAGGAGCCACACACGAGGGGGAGTATTATTGAAATAAATAAACGAAGGTCACTGTAGGTGCAAAATTTCGCTCAACCAATAATGATTAAGAAAAATAAAACAACTCACTCAATCAATAGTAAAATAAACAAGAACAATATATCTCGAAGCGTAGAATTGCTTGATCTCTTTATTGGAAGTCTTAGCCTCTATTTATATACAAAAGATTGTAAAATTATGGTAGGACTCGCGTTGCTTGCCCTCCAATTCTTTCTATATAAACATTCTTTACTAATAGAGTTCTTTCCATTGTCTAATTTTCTATACATAGAACTTGCCTTGTACAGAACTTCCTATCTCAGAATTTTCCTTCTACGGTAAATCTTTCAACTGGTAGGACTTGTGCATTCTTGAATAACTGGGCTGAACATATTTTGATCTGGCTGGGCTTGAGTAACGGACCGGATGTTAAATATTAACAAGTTGGGCTGATGACCTCTTGATTCGGCCTTGATGGAGGTTGGAGGACAAATAATAACGGTCTTGGGCTATAAATACCCTCAATTTGGGCTTGAGCATGATGGGCCTTATATGTCCTTGGAATGTAGATATGTGTAGTGATGACGTGTGCGCTTTTTATTGGAGGTAGTTTTTTTCCCTCCACACTTTGCCCCAAATTTCATTTTTAATTGAGTGACGGCTCCTATTAAAGAGGGAATTGAAACCGGTTTTTAACTTTGCTTCAGAAACGGTTCGAGGTCTTTCTTTATTACTCCGTCATACAAGATTTTGCAAGAGTTACATTTGCCCTTGCTGCACTTCTGCACTCTTCATTCCATCGCTTTGTCAGGTTAGTTTTTTTTCGCATCTTTCTCTTCAATCTTTCATTATGAGTACTTCATCTACTCCCGAACGTATAGACATTGGGGATTCTGAATCCACACCTTCATCTTCCCCCGTTCGCATTAGGGCTCCCCTTCCTAGGGTTTCTACAGATCGTGTTTCGTCGAATCCATTAGGTATTTCCCCCCTTCCAGCCGAGACATCCACCTCAGGCTCTGATTATGTTCTTACTCATGAAGAGAGGAAAGCAATCATCTTTATTCGCCGCATCAAGTTCTCTATTGCTTCGGTAATGGAAGAATTTGATATTCCTGAGGGAGTAGAAATTGCAGAATATCCCGAGGGTGCCGATTTTACCTCCGGCGAGGGAATTAAAGAGAGTGAATTGCTTCTTTCGGTAGGGCATCTTAACGCCCTCCGATTCCCTCTTCATCCCTTCTATCATTTAGTTTTCAACAAGTTAGGTCTTGTCCCCCTTCAGGTAAATCCTAATTTCTTTCGCATCCTTTCGGCACTGTTGGTGCGCCGGAAATTAGAGGCTTTGGATTTGACCCTTGCCGACCTTCTGCTTACTTACAATATATCTAAGCATGGGACCGAGCCTGGTCGCTTCTTTTTTACCTCTCCCCTTCATCAGAGGATATGCACGAACCTTCCTTCATCCGAAAAGAAGTGGAAAGAAAGGATGGTTATAGTTAAAGGAAAATGGTTCGTGCCCCAATCAATTACGCTCCCCATCCCGCGCAAGTTCGGAAAATTAGGTATAGAATACTTAACCTCCCTTTATACCAAGTGTTCTGGCTGTTTTCCTTGCCAAGTCTTAATGTTTCGCCGTACTTATGAGTTTCTTGGTGTTTTTTTAGTTACATTCCCATCCTCCGCAGCAAGGAACAGACTTTCTTTTCTTGAGGAACGAGTCTGGAGTGACCCCTCGCCTATCGAGGACCTGCTAACTTCTTCAAACCTCAAGGATATTGCCTCCAGTGCTGTTGCTGTAGACCTCATGGATCTGTCTCTACAATCCTTTGACAGTTTCCCCATAACTGAGGAGGAGATACGGAGGGCTGAGGCTTTAAAAAAGAAAGCCGAAGATGCCCAACCCTTAGTCGTTATTAGATCTACTGAGGATGAGGTGGAGGTTGAGGAACCACCAATAAAGAAATCTCGCCTCAACCCCCCATCCTCTGGCAAGGGCAAGGTCCCTTCTAAAAGCAGAGGGAAAAAGGCTGGAGAGGCCGAACCTGAAGATGAAGTCAGGGCCTTTGTTCTGGCTGAGACTGGGGCTCCTTGGACTCCTTCATTCTCCAGGGTTGATAAGTCAGTCCTGCACTCAGGGGATTCTGTGATTACAGACCCTTCAGCTGCACTGGCGGTGGCTCGAGGGATGTGGCTCCCAAAGGACGAGGAAGCCATCAGCCAAATGGGGTTGGAACAACTACTCCCCTCTGCCCCGGTCCGGGCCATAGAGGTTCGCATTGCTCCTTCAGAATTATGTTACTCTTACTTGCTTATGTTTCCATTTATGCTCATATTTGTTCCTCTGTTATACAAAGTCTATACCACACCATGGCCCTCTGCGCCACTGCTGAAGCCCAATCCCTCTCCATCAAGAAGTTGGAAACGGATCTTGACAAGGCAGAGAAGAGAGCCACCACTGCCTCTACCAATCTGAAGATAGCTTCTGAAGCCAAGGATGCGTATAAGAGGCAGTTGGCAGCCTCTGAGGCTAAGGTGGATTCTCTTCAGGCCGAAGTTCAACGCCTGACTGAGGCTCTTACTACTTGCTTCAAGGCGGGGAAGCAAATGCAGGGGCGCTACTCCTGTCTGGCACACCTGGCTAGTGCTAAAGTGTTCCGGTTTGGCTATAGTCAGGGCTCAGGCCCTAGGACGATGGATCCGGACGCTTTTGACAAGCAGGTGGGGGTGCACTTCCCATATGATGAAGGGCCAGAGGCTTTGGAAGCTGAAATCCGCTTTGCCGAGATGGTGAAGGCGCACCTGAAGGGTACTCCTAGCTCTTCTGCCCCTGCGGCTTCAATTCCTCCTACCCCAAGTCCTACTGTAGTGGATGCCTTTGAATCTACTCCCTTCGATCCGAAGAGGAAGTAGAACCATGTATTTTGTTTTTATGGACAGCATGTTTGGGGATAATGAATATAATTTTTTGTTTTAGGCTTTCAATACCTGATTTGTTTTTGCTGTATGCTTTTGATATTGTTCATATTTTTCTGACTGGTAATGTGTTTAAACAAAACACATTGTCTTTATGCTTCGGATTTATGCTATCCGAGAAAAAACAAGAATGGTGGGAAGAAGGAGATCCTTTTAACAGTTTAGTTGATATCTCAGGATGATTCATATGGACAATGAATTCACTGTTAAGTGAACTCTCCTTGCCTTTTACTTGCCTGCAGTAGACGTATACATACTCTTTCCTTCTCGTGTGTTCCTGATGTGGGGTGGATCATGATGAACTTATGATATATCCACATCCACAGGGTGTTAAACACTTGGATTCCGGAGGAAAGAGTTCTGATCCGGGCACCAGAGGTCTGAAGCGAATTATTCCTCGGCACTGAGTGTGGAGGAATATTATTGAATAGGACACTTAGGGTCCGAAGCTGTCTTGGATACTTAGGATTCGAGGCGGATTGTTCCTCGGCACTGAGTCGTGGAGGAATAGTGCTGAACAGGACACTTAGGGTCCGAAGCTGTCCTGGACACTTAGGATCCGAGGCGAATTAAACACTCCCTGGCGCGGAGCCGGAGGGGAGGTTTTGCCGAGCCGGACACTTAGGGTCCGGAGCGAGATTTTTGCTGAGCCGAACACTTAGGGTTCGAGGCGAGATTTTTGCCGAGCCGAACACTTAGGGTCCGAGGCGAGATTTTTGCCGAGCCGAACACCTAGGGTCCGAGGCGAATGATCTATTCCCCGGCGCTGAGCCTGAGGGAAGTTTAAATGAATTATTCCCCGGCGCTGAGCCTGAGGGGAGGTTTTGCCGAACCGGACACTTAGGGTCCGAGGCGAATGAATTACTCCCCGGCGCTGAGCCTGAGGGGAGGTTAAATGAATTACTCCCCGGCGCTGAGCCTGAGGGGAGGTTTTGCCGAACCGGACACTTAGGGTCCGAAGTGAATGAACTACTCCCCGGCGCTGAGCCTGAGGGGGAAGTTTGTTCATATCTTTTCTCAAACAACTTATTATGAGGCCGAGGATTCAAAAATGATAAGAGGCCAAGAAAGCGAGTAACAGTGGCTGTGAAGTTTCCTATTTGTTGACTTTGGAGACTTTCCTCCTCCACTGATACTTCCTTCTTGGCAACCAAATGTTGTGAACCACGTATATATGAACCGTATTTCTTTTCTATTTCTATCCGATGTGGGATATAGACTAAATTTTGTCAAAAAGGTCGGTGTAAGGAATGCCTCTGGTATCGAGCTTGACAGCCTTAAATACCAGTGGGCCCTCCTTACACCGTAATTAACTATTTGAATATTCCCATATATAACAGAATGTAGCACATACTTTTTTGTCGATGTGGGATAGAAAGTTTTAAGCACAGGCCATAACTCATGTTTTTTGTGTGTTTTTTTTTTAAAAAAAAAAATCATTGTGACGAATGCTTTTTAGCAGCTTGCTTCTAATTGCATAAAAATTGCATAGTGCGACTTGACATGCATAAAAATTGCCTAATGCGATGCATGCATAAAAGTTGCATAATCATAGAGTAGTATGGCCCCCCATTTTTATAAAAAGAAACAAAAATAGAGGAGAGTTGTACTGAATATAGAAGCAAAATAAAGAAAAGTTTGGCTGACTGTGGACATACTCAGCCTTATTTGTGAAGAATTTGTAGCAAAATTGACAAACTTAACTAATGGAAATACCTTTTCAGGTGTATTGCGTTCCAAGGACGCGCAATGGGACGTCCGCCAGCTTCGGCCAAACGATATGCTCCTTTCCCCACTACTTCGGTAACCCTGTAGGGTCCGGTCCAATTAGGTTCCAGTTTCTTTACATGAGCTGTCTCCTGCTTCAAAACCCAATCGCCTACCACAAAGCTCCTGAATCTGACGCGTTTGTTAAAACTGTTACACACCTGCTGTTGGTATGCCGCGAGCCGAATTGCTGCTGCATCTCTCCTTTCGTCCACAAGATCAAGGCTATGTTCGAGTTGTTGCTCATTGTTCCCTTCCAGTACCAAGGATGTTCGAAGGGTTGGGATTATGGACTCGGTAGGAATGACAGCTTTGGATCCATATGCCATAGCAAATGGGCTTTCTCCCGTGGGTCGTCTTGGAGTGGTTCGATAGGCCCAGAGCACTTGAGGGAGATTCTCGTACCACTTTGTCTTCAATTTCTCTAATTTTTTCTTCAAGCACCCGAATATCGTGCGATTAGTTATTTCAGCTTGCCCATTGCCTTGTGGATGACTAACTACAGCCAATTTTTGCAGGATTGCGTGTTCGCTAAAGAACTTTCTTGTACTTCTGTTATCGAGGTTCTTACCATTGTCCATTACGATGACTTTTGGTACCCCAAACCGGTAAATAATGTTGCTCCAAATGAAATGCTTTACTTCTTCGTGGGTGACGCTAGAGAAGGCTTCAGCTTCCACCCACTTGGTGAAGTAATCCGTAGCCAGAAGCACATGCTCCTTTTTTTCCATGGTTTTGGGTAACGGTCCTACTATATCAATCCCCCATTGGGCGAACGGCCATGGATTAGCCATGGCGTGCAAACCTTCGGCAGGTTGATGCTTTATTGGACCATGGCGCTGACACTTGTCACATCTTCTTGAGTATTCCTCGGCATTCCGAGCCAGGTATGGCCAAAAATAACCTTGGGTTAGAATTTTGTGTGCAAGGGATCTTCCTCCCGAGTGTTTTCCACAATCTCCTTCATGAATTTGTTTTAGAATTGTGAGAGCCTCAGTAGGGGTTAAACACTTGAGATAAGGACCGGAGAATGACCTTCGGTACAACTGGTTATTGATGATTGAGTACTTAGCCGCGGTAAGCCTAAGCTTCCTTGCCTCAGCTTTTTGATTTGGGAGAACTCCTTCCTTGAGGTAGGCCTCGATTGGATCAATCCAGCAGGGCTCGCGTGAAACTTCCGGGATCACCATCACCTCTTGCCGGGGATTAATGCTGGGTTCTTCGAGAACATCGATTGGAACAAGCCGAATCAACTCTTCGTCTGAAGATGATGCGGCTGCGGCCAATTGATTTGCTTCGGCATTTTCATCTCGTGGTACCTGATGGAACTCGATTTGATCGAACTCCCGGATAGCACTCTCTACAGCATCTTTGTATGACTTCATACGTTCCTCCTTGGGAGAATAGTGCCCTGTCACTTGATTGATCACAAGCTGTGAGTCACTAAAAACTTTTAAACATCGTACCTGTAGCTGTTTAGCTAGCCGAAGTCCGGCGAGCAACGCCTCATACTCGGCCTCGTTATTAGTAGCTGGGAAATCTAGCAAAATTGACTGCTGCAGCTTGGTACCCTCGGGTGTTGTGATGTCAATCCCGGCCCCTGCCCTTTTCTGGTTGGAAGAGCCATCAACCCGTAACTCCCAGTACGGCTCTTGAAGTGTCAGTTCCTCAGGTTGATCTTCATACTCTAGTAGGAAATCCGCTACTGACTGCCCCTTGTGAGATACCTTCGGTGCATAGGTGATGTCAAAAAAGCTAAGTTCAATAGCCCATTTTGTAATTCGACCAGGCAAGTCTGGTTTAGCTAGGATAGCCCGTATAGGGTGATTTGTAAGTACCACTATGCTGTGAGATTCGAAGTAATGTTGAAGTATCCTCTTGGCATAAATTAACGCCAGGATTACCTTTTCCGTCTTGCTGTACCGTGTCTCGGCATCCGTCATCGTTTTGCTTGTGTAAAAGATTGGGTGCTGAACCTTGCCTCCTTCTTTAATCAACACTGCGCTTGTTGCTACAGCTGATACTGCCAAGCACAGGATGAGAGTGTCTCCGAGCGTTGGAGCAGAAAGGATTGGGGGTTTTGTCATGTAGCTTTTCAATTGATTGAGAGCTTCCTGCTGCTGAGGTCCCCACATATCTTTGTTTTTGGATCGAATAGCATCAAAGAAAGGTTTATACTTGTCAGATAATCGGGATATGAACCGGCTGAGAGCAGTAATTCGGCCGGTTAGAACCTGCACTTCCCTGCGGGTTTTTGGCTCTTGGTTCTGTATGAGTGCCTTTGCCTGAGCTGGGCTTACTTCTATTCCTCTTTTATTTACAATGTGCCCGAGGAACTGTCCTGACGAGATGGCGAAGGAGCACTTGGTGGGGTTCAGCTTCATATTGTACCTCTTGAGAGTATCAAAAACATCCTGGAGGTGCTTCGGGTGGTCCTCTTTCCGTATACTTTTGACCACCATATCGTCGATATAGGCTTCAACTGTATTCCCCAATAGATTATTGAAAATTTTATTGACAAGTCGCTGGTAGGTGGCTCCGGCATTCTTTAGACCGAAGGGCATCACTCTGTAGCAGTAAGTGCCCGTCTCTGTGATGAAAGCGGTTTTCTCCTCATCTTCAGGATTCGTGGGAATTTGATTATAGCCGGAGTATGCATCGAGGAATGTGAGCCTCTCATAACCTGTCGTAGCATCCACCATTTGATCAATCTTGGGCAGAGGGAAGCTATCTTTTGGGCAAGCTTTGTTAAGGTTGGTATAATCTACGCATACCTCCATTTCCCATTCTTCTTTTGAACGACTACTACATTTGAGAGCCATTGTGGGTATTGCACCTCTCGAATGAATCCTGCTTGTAATAGTTTATTTACTTCCTCGGCTATTATGCGATTCCGTTCAGGTGCAAACCGTCAGTGCCTCTGCTTGACTGGCCTGAATTCTGGGTTAACCCTCAAACTATGGCATGAGACCATAGGATCGATCCCCACCATGTCCGAGTGATCCCAGGCATGAGACCGAGTGATCCCAGGCAAAGACATCCGAATTGTACCGAATGACCCTGATCAATGCTTCCTTCTCTTCGGCTGTGCAAGATGAGCCAATGTAGGTGACCTTTTGAGGGTCTCCGAGGACTACCTCTATAGCTTCGAGGGACTCCTCGGTAGGTGCTTCAGCCTCGGCTTCTTCCTCTGCCTTGAGATACTTGGGCAGAGGATACTGTAACTGCTATTTGATTGCGCCTTTGGGATTCGCCTCTAACTGAGGTGATTTCGACGCCTTCTTTGCTTCATGTAGCGTTAGCATGTAACATTCTTTTGCAGCCACCTGGTCTCCCCAGAGGTCGATGACTTCCCTGCCATCTGGGGATAAACACCTCATTACTTGATGAAGGGTAGAGGGGACTCCGTTCATACGATGGATCCAACCTCTCCCCATAATGAGGTTATAAGATGGATGAATCTCCGTCACGACAAAGTTCTCCTTCAGAGTCCTCTTTGCTGCAGTAACGGATAGATCGATCACCCCAAGCGGATTCACCTTAGTACCATCAAATCCCATTAGGGGGCTGGAAGTTGGCCTGATGGACGATGGTGAAACCCCCAACTGATCAAAAGCTGCTTTTGTAATGATGTTGGCGCTACTTCCCGGATCTATCAGCACCCTCCTGATCATATAATTCGCTACCAGGAGGCTAATGACCAAGGGGTCCTCATGCGGGCGCTGGACTCTAGACAGATCATTGTTACCGAATTCAATGTTGATGCTGCCTGGTGCAACCGTGTTTACCGAAGACAATCTTCGTAACTTATGAGCCTCTCTCAGCCTGGATCTGTACAACTCTTCAGACTCTTCATCATCCTCTGACCTTCCGTGTATAGCATGGATAACCTTTACCTGACCGCCCTCTACCCGTCGAGGGTTAACCTCCCGAGGTTTTACGTACTCCTTCGTGGCGAGATACTCCACCAACTCTCCTCCCGCTATCATGCTTTCTACCTGTCGCTGAAGGGACCTGCAGTCATTGTTGGTGTGCCCATAGTCTCTATGGTAGGCACAATGTTTGTTTTTGTCCCTCTGCTCCAAGGGTTGTTTCATGGGCTGAGGAGTTGCAAACCTCGTCTTATTCTCTTGGAATAGGCGCGCTAAGGTAATACGGAGAGGGGTAAGCCTGTCCTCTGTCCTTCGCCTCTTCTCAGGCGCTTGGGTGACTTGTGTGGCGGTATGAGGAACCTTCTGCATCCTTGTGCTTGCAGCTTTCTCTCGATACTTGTTTTCCACTGTGACGAGGGTAGCGTGCTGTGCACGGTGGGCTACGTTTTCCTCTAACCGAATGTAGATTTGTGCCCTAGCGTTCAAAGTCTGCATATCCGGGGGGGAATATTTGACCAAGGATGTGTGAAACTTGGTTCCCTGGATCATTGCCAACTTAAATGTTTCGATTGCCGTGGCAGGGTGGCAATCTGCTATTTCCGAGGCCTCCATGTTAAACCTGGATAAGAAATCTTGCAGAGTTTCTCCCTTCCTTTGCCTTATGGTGAAAAGGCTGGCGATACTTTTCTTCTGCTTCTTATTTCCGCAATACTGGGCTAAGAACATAGTGCACAAGGTCTCATAATCAGGGATAGACTTGTGTGGCCTATTCCTGAACCATTCTAACGCTGCTCCGGTTAAACTGGTAGGAAAAACCTTACACATCCACGGATCGTTATGATCGTCCAGTGCCATCTTTTGTGCATAATGATCGAGATGCTGAGAGGGGTCTCCTGCCCTATCGAACTGGGTGAAGGATGGCATAGTGAACTTCTTTGGTCTCTCCACAAGGTACACATCGTCAGTAAAGGGGGTCTTGACCAAGGAGTTATTGTGCTCTCTAGCCATCTCGGCTGGTGTCTGAACTCTTAATAGCTTCTTTTCGTCGAAGGCATCTTGTACGCGTGCGCCATCTAGAACGCCATTGGACCATACCGTAAGCCTATGGCTGGACTCGGCCTGTTCGTCCTGTGTGCAGCACGGGAGATTATCCGAAGCAACCGCCTCGGACCTCGTCCCTTGCTTTTGCTGAACCTCATTAGGTCGAGCCCCGTTGGGTGGTGTCCCGTTGGCCGGAGGCTCGTGAACTGGAGGTAAATTCTGGGTGGGGGGTGGTGCTGCAGCATCGCCTGGTGGTGGTTGTGGCGTTAGCCTGGCCATTGCCGTGTGCAGCGTATGAGTCTGCTGCTGAAGCGCAGCTATCTGGGCGACACTCGTATCGTTTGCTTGCCGGAGTGTCTCAAATTGGTGCAAGAACTCTTCTCGCATCTTTTGCATCAATTCTATCTGTTGATTCATTGCTGACTCTCCGTTTGACATTCCAGATACGACTAAGGATTTGATTTGAAGAACAAGTGGGAGTATATTTTTATACGATTCCCACAGACGGTGCCAAAGTGTAGGTGCAAAATTTCGCTCAACCAATAATGATTAAGAAAAATAAAACAACTCACTCAATCAATAGTAAAATAAACAAGAACAATATATCTCGAAGCGTAGAATTGCTTGATCTCTTTATTGGAGGTCTTAGCCTCTATTTATATACAAAAGATTGTAAAATTATGGTAGGACTCGCGTTGCTTGCCTTCCAATTCTTTCTATATAAACATTCTTTACTAATAGAGTTTTTTCCATTGTCTAATTTTCCATACATAGAACTTGCCTTGTACAGAACTTCCTATCTCAGAATTTTCCTTCTACGGTAAATCCTTCAACTGGTAGGACTTGTGCATTCTTGAATAACTGGGCTGAACATATTTTGATCCGGCTGGGCTTGAGTAACGGATCGGATGTTAAATATTAATAAGTAGGGCTGATGACCTCTTGATTCGGCCTTGATGGAGGTTGGAGGACAAATAACAACGGTCTTGGGCTATAAATACCCTCAATTTGGGCTTGAGCATGATGGGCCTTATATGTCCTTGGAATGTAGATATGTGTAGTGATGACGTGTGCGCTTTTTATTGGAGGGAGTTTTTTTCCCTCCACAGTCACTCTCTCCGTTAGCTTAAACTTTTAAAGAAATTGGTGACTAACATGATGTCAGATTTAAAAATTCATGTATTGAAACCTTGATACTTCCCCTCTACTATATACTAACATTCACTTAGACAGCCCACTTGAATTAGACCATGGGTAGTATCGATAAAGTTAGATACTAATGGTATTACAATAGGTAAGGTTCTTGGATCAAATCTCACTACCTACGATGTAATTACAATATATGCATGTGTTTGGACAATCATGAAGTAGAGTTTTGTTAAATGTGTGAGGGGGCTTATTGATAAGTTATGCCTCTCAGAGCTTAATATACATTGTTGGCCCCATTCTCTAATAGCTTTAGCTCTTCTGGTATAATTGATAGTCTAACATGGTACAAGAGTTTTGGTTCTAGTAGGTCTTGGGTTCAAGTTTGAATAGATATGGTATTGTTTCCCTGTTTGGTCTGCAAGTTTGCACTTTGTTCTAGTTCCAGTTTTGTTTGTTTGCCTCACCATGCGTGCACTAGATGAATTTATGTATTATTTTATTTTTCCCGAAAGTTCAGGCAAACACACACACCCACATGTTGCCCCTAGCAGGGCTCAAACTCTCAACCCCCTTTGGGAAGGAGAGATCATACCATCTGGGATAATATCGATTGGTCATGTGTGAGACGAAGTTGCATGTGAGGAAGTGTGTTGGAGTTTGATATACATTGTTGGGCTCATTCTCTAACTGTGTAAGCTTTTGAGGAAGTGAGCTTTCATTCTAGGAGTCTTGTGTTCGAGTCTCTATGCAAGTTTGTATTTTGTTCTGATCTTTATTTGGTCTATTTGCCTTTGGAATTTGATATGCATTGTTGGATCCATTCTCTAACAATTTAAGCATTTGGGGTAATTGGTTGTTTAACATGGTATCAAAGTTTTGGTTCTTGGGTTCACATCTCCATATATATGCATTTATTTGTCAGTTTGGTGTGAAAATTTGCACTTTGTTTTGGTGTTAGTTTGTTCTGTTTGTCTCAACACGTGCAAGACGGTGTTACACGTGAGGGAGGGTGTTAAAGCTTAATATACATTGTTGGACTCATTATCAAACACAAGCTTTTCAGGCAAGTGGTATTGTGAAAAAACCCTAACAATTTGAGATATCGGAGCAGTTGCTTGTTAACAAGAATACAAAAGAAAAACATTGCATACATTTCTGGTAAATAAATTTAACTTTATAAAATTAATTAAGTAAATAGTTCCTCGTACCAAGAAGAGGGCCCAAGGCCTCATGTTGTCATACAGATGATACACCTCCCACTGCGCGTGTTGGGAAAAAGGGAAAGGAAAAAGCTTTACCATAATTTTGGACAATATTAGCATGTAGTCAGTGACCGATTTCGTAAACCACTAAAGTGCCAGACAATCTGATTTGAAGATGTAATCTATAAAAAGGTCGAGTGGAAAAACATAGAAACCAATAATGTTTAATATATGGTCACCTAAATCCTTCCAACTATTACATGTATGCAGGATTTACTGAAAATCTACAAAGAAACCCGAAATGGGATGTTGGGACCTGATTACTCAACAAAATTCTCTCCTTGGCTTGCTTCAGGAAGCCTCTCTCCACGTTTCATATATGAAGAGGTATGGGACTTGTCATAGTAGCTATTGCATTGATTAGCTAATATTACTAAGCCAATGAAAATACTGATCCTATTTTCATTTAATTTGTTTAGGTAAAGAGATATGAGAAGGAGAGGCAATCAAATAATTCCACATACTGGTATCTGTTTGTGTGTGTGTGGTGATTATAGTGCCATTTTAAATTAGTTGTTGCTGTCTAAATCAAAATAAAATTCAGAAACAACAAATTCAATCTTTGTTTTCTCTCATCAGTTGGGTCAACTTTGTTGCACTGTTATTTTTTTCTGAAGCAGCTATCATGATTTCAGGGTTTTGTTCGAACTGATATGGAGGGATTACTTCAGGTTTCTATCAATTAAATATGGGAATTCACTTTTCCATCTAGGTAAAACAGAGATCTGTTTACTAATTTAGTTGTCCAATTCAGTGTATTTAGGGAAATTTAGATGCTTGAAGATTCCAGCTAACTAAGACGTGACATGTTGCGAATAATACCACATGCTTGGGTTTGAGACCCTCGTAGAGCTTAATAGCTATCATCTCCTTTCCTAAGTTATATAGCAAAAAAAAAAGAATAAAAAAAAAAAGGGAAAGAAAGAAGGAAAAAATAAAAATTGTAAAACCACAAACTGAAAAAGCAAATTCATACTCTGAGAATCACTCTTGTTATTTTTTTGGGTAAATTAGTGTATATAGTGGAATTTTGAAATATATAACAGTTCCAAAGTAGAATTAAATTAAAAAAATTGCTATAATTTCTTCCGGATTATCAGATAGTGTGTTTATTTCTATTTTCAGGTGGCCCAAGAAAAGTCGAATCTAAATGGAGCCAAAACGAGATTTTGTTTGAGTCTTGGAGAGATGGTCGCACGGGGTATATTGCCTAACCTGAGGTTGTATGTATAACAACCATGTCATTGTGAAATGAGTCTTTTTTTTATTTTATTTTTTTACTCTTTTTTATTTGTAGTATGGAAAGATGCTCGTGTTATTCTTATACCTGCCTATTTGTTAAAGTTCTAATCATTCCACTATTATGGAAGGGATTGCCTATTAAACTTGCAAGTTCTAGCTTTCTTTGTGGTGCTATGGGAATCTAATTGGAATTGTTGAACTTCCTATATGTCATTTCCATATGCCCATCAAAGCTATAAGGCTTACCTTTCTTGAACTTTTTAGGTACCCTCTCATAGATGCTAATATGAAAGAACTGTCGACCACTGGGTTCATGTCAAATCGAGGACGACAGGTAAATCACAAGTCTAATAAGAACTTCTTTTAGAACATAGCTAGTAGATTGCATGTCTTAATCCTAGTATTGAATGGTCATCTGACTGAAATGCTAATACTGATTTGCCGGAAACATGAAACATAAAAAGAACACTTCATCATCATCAGTAATTAATCTATATTCTGCAGATTGTATGTTCCTTTCTTGTTCGGGATATGGGAATTGACTGGAGGATGGGAGCTGAGTGGTTTGAAACTTGCCTTTTGGATTATGACCCGTGTTCCAATTATGGTAATTGGACCTATGGAGCAGGTGATTCATTTCATCATACCTTCAATCATCAATATTTTTATCCAAATTTTTGTATTTACAGAATCTGTATACTTTTTATGTATATGTAAATGCATGCATGTGTTTTAGAAAATGGGTTTCCCATTTATTTGGTACTTTAGGAGTGCTTATTTTGTGTGTGTGTGTGTATATATATATATATTTAAGTAGCGAAGGAAGAGGACAAAACTTGTTGACCATTCCAGGAAAAAAGATGACTAAGCAATGCCTCACTCGGGAGATACATTAGAAAGTAGGACCTTGTAATGTGATATTGTTATCATAACGTAGTGAAATTGCTTTTCCATCAGGATAGCACATTCAGGCATGATCTAAGCATTAGGATGTCCATGAGAGAGCATAAAAAATGTCACTTTACAATTTAAAGCAGTAAAAGTGGGTGAAAAACAAAAGAAAAGAATGAGTTTAACTCAATTTCTCTATAGGGAAGGGTCTAGTGTTAAGGGCATTTACTTATTTGCCCAATATTGTAATTCCTGAAAAGTTGAGTTAGTTTTCTTTTTACTTTTTGGTACTTGAAATGTGAGAATTTGGAGCCAAGCATTTCACTCCATGTTCTTTTTAGGTGTTGGAAATGACCCAAGGGAGGATCGTTACTTCAGCATTCCCAAGCAAGTAAGTGAACTTAAACATTTTATTTTATTTATTTTCAATTATTTCAGTTTTAAGGTTATTTGGGTATCCCACAACCGTCCCACAGAAAAAAAAAAATAATAATAATAATAAGAAAAAAGAAAAAAGAAAGAGCAAGAACTTGGCATAAAATGTTCAGATGTTTATATAGTCAACAAAGGCAGTTGTTTGTATTGTACAAGGCCATATACGCACACTTATTAGGACCAATTATTGTTTGATTTATACATTAACTTATGCTGCATATGTATAATTATGTAGTGAACATTTACACATGTTCCTTTGGCTATGGAAGCTGCTTCTAAAATTTTGGACGGGCATGGAAGTTAAATGTCAATAAGTCTCAAAACCCTAATTTGTTCTCTGATGTGCTGGAATAGATGCAAGTTATTTATGCTTTGGACCCTAAAACCAGATCTATTTTACTCCATTTTTTACCATGAAAATCTTATTTCACAAGTTTTAATCTTTTCTTCATCAAGTAATTTTCACAGCCTCAAAACCTTACCTTTTCTTGTCTAATTATGACCCCAAGACACCACTCCTTTTTTGCAGTTTCACAAACCTTAAATCACCAGAGACTAGGGTTTATTTTTTCCACCTCAAATAGCAAAAAAATGAGTTTCTCCACTGGGATCCTAAGAACATCAAGAAAATACTCCATAAAGTTTATTAAATCGTTGAAAAAATTTCCACGCAGCCATGAGGTGATAACCTTAATTTTATTTTGATAATTGTTAATTTTGTCTATTTCCAGCATCAAGTCTTGTCTAGATGCTCTGATACATGATTTAAGTTCAAGCAACAACAAATTTATTAAGACTGACTTTTCACTGGGGTGAACATAGTGGTTGCAGTTCAATCCTCGTTTAATGGAGAACATTAATTTTTAAGAGAGCTCCCTGTATAGGCATTATAGTTAAATGGTTAGAAGCTAAGGGGAAGAAAAATTGAGAACCCACTCTTGAGTTTAAATTGTACTATTTGGAGTTCAACTTGTAAAATGTAGTCTAAAAATTGCTCTTCCTCTCTTTCTGGCTATCTTAGAGACCGTTGCTTTTTGGAAGTATTAATCCCGGCCTCCACTTTGAATTTTTTTTCTTTTCTATAGAACACTTAATAAATAAGAAGAAGAAAACTCAGTAAGTCTTACCCAATTAAAGCCTTATTTTCTGTATCATTTGCAATCAACTCTTTTGAAGAAAATATATTTTCCAATTTGTAGAATAACTGAAACATCATTGCCAGTAGAAAAAAATCGTAGGGGTATTTTTTGACTTAAAGACGGTCTTCACTATTAACCCTTTGTCTGTCTCTTTCAGCGTCTTAAGAATAAAATTAGATTAAAATAACATGTAGTTAAACACGAAAGAAAATATTGAAGTATGACAGTAGCATGAACATTTTAATCTGTCCTAATATTTTATTATCCGTTGCAGGCTCAGAATTATGATCCCGAAGGGGAATACGTAGCGTACTGGTTGCCGGAGTTGAAAAAACTCCCGAAAGATAAAAGGAACTTTCCTGGCATGTCATACATGAAGCAAATTGTACCTCTCAAATATGGATGCACTAAAAAGAATGGCAACAAAGATACGACTTCGGCAGCAAGACGAACCAGCACTGGTGTGAAACAGATGGAATGGCACAAGAGATAAGAGAACAAAGCTATTCGATTCCATTTTCTGTTTGGATAGGAAATGGAAGGCAAAAGTAAACTGGAGAATCCGATTGAAAAGTTTTATCCTTTCCGGTATGGGGCAAAAAACATAAATTTTCATGTAGTACAAGATACATCCAAGTTTGCAGAACAAAAAAATTGCTGATAAAAATGAATCTTTTTATGTTGCTTGTGAAACCCCACCTGAAAACTTTTCCCCATGTGTGCATGTGTACTTGGTGGTGGAATTAGTCCATGGAAGTGCTAGAATGATTTTCCTTGTAGCTCAAAATGAACTCTTAATTGTAAATGATGAAATATCAAAATTTTAGTTCTGTCTTCTCTTTGAGATATCATGCCAAAATTTTCTAGCTGAGGTACAAGAGATTGCTAAATATAAAGGATAATTTAGTAAAAGCATAGTTGGCTTCGAAGAGCTAACCTTTCCTCGCTAGACTCTCTCTCTCTCTCTCTTTTCAAATCTTCTTGTTTCCTGTTTGCCCTTGCGGCTATAGATTACTTTATTTTATATATATATATATATATATATATTTTTTTTCGGAAGGTACTTTATGTTATATTGCTTTTGGCTGCTTTTTAATGTACTAATTCCTGTCTGCCTTTGCTTTTTGTTGATTGGTGTGTGTGCGCGCGCGTGTTTTGTTCAAAGGGAAAATGCCTCATTTTACTGTTATAATTTCTGGTTTTTATTATTAACATTCTCACTCGCACTCCACCAAAAAGTAAAACAGCTTAAATTGGATTTTTATTTATTTATTATGTAATAAACACAACACATAAATCCAATTGCCATGACAAATATGCATGAGACAAACCTGCACAGCTTCAATGACAAAGTAATAAATCGATGGTATAATCTCCTTTTGAGGGAGGAGATCGAGTCCCGTTGTAAACAATTTGTGAAATATGTATGAGAATGTACTAACCTAACTAAAACAAAAAAAATATCAATCAACTCCTCATAGATATATTATGAAAACAAAATAATAGTGGAGAGAAGAAAACAATCCTGAATGATTGGGTTTCGGAACTTTTGCTTTCTGTAATTGTGTTAATGTTCCATGCATCTGCCGAGCAACGTTCATTAAGATTCTCATTGTCTCTGCTTTTTCCACAACCTCAATAATTATTATTATTATTATTTTTAGTTAACTCTGGGTGTTCGGAAAGATACGAACCTTTAGAGTGTCTCAACAACTCGACTAATCTCAAATGATTCGGAAGGACTTCTCCTCACTCAGACCGAGTAAGTTATTACAGGGACAATAAAAATTAGTCACAAAATTTACTTAGCGGGACTCGCATCTCAAACTTTAAACTTGCTAAGTTTTAAAAAACCGCTAGACCATATTCTTCCTCTATAATTATCTTATACAAAGACATTGCATTGGTTCGTCAGTTTCTCTTTCGATCTGACAATTAATAATGGTACTCACTTGACTCTTCTAGCCCACCAAAATTGACTTGAACATGGTTCACTACCTGCTAAAACCCTATTTGTACGATTAGTGCTTTTTAATCTTTATTCCATGCTTCTAACCTCATAACTAAAGTACCTTCCAAAAAAAAAAAGAAAAATTATCCAAGTAAATTTTTAATAATAATAAACTTTAAATTAGTTATGTTTTACAATAGATTTATTGATCTTAGTATAAAAGAGATGTAATATTTTTATTTTACTTTTATTTTTACTAAGGCAAAAGTTAATAGGCCTTTTACTAATTTATGCAATATTAACCAGTTGAAAGTTTAAAAGATGTTAAAAATAACAAGTGAAAAATTTTTAGAAAAAAAAAGGTAGGAGCTAGAAAGACATGGAAGAGAAGAAAAAAAACAAAAAACAGAAGACAGAAATGTAATGGGATATTTTTTTCTATGTGGGGGCTTTAGGCAGTCGCTTTAAATATTGTTTTATGGAAGAGGTGGCCTTTTTTAACTCATAATTAAGTGAACAAGAAAGGGAGTACTAAGTTGTATTTGAGTTTCCTAGCCTTTATCTCAAAGTGGAGGCTTGCAGAAGTATGGTAAAAAGGAATCAAATTAAGATTTATTATTATTTAATAGACTTCAGAGGTAGCAACCATATCATAGGTCAAAACTTTTTTATATTTTGGAAGTTACTATTCATATTCATATGGAGTCCATTTCTCAGATCAAGCTTTCCTAATTGACTACATTAAGCTTTAATTCTTCTGTCTCATGCAAACCCTTGGAAGAACTACATGGAAATCAGGGGGCCAGATGATGCAGACATATGTCTACGTCTTTGAACTCGGACCCTCTTTGTTATTGTACAATAGTGGACGGTCCAAATCAAACCATACAAGAACCACGTGCGATCTGATTTGTACTGTTCACTATTAAACTTACTTATAGAAGATCCATCCTCTCATGTCCTGATATAGCCGATCTATAACATGTGAGATCTACAATAAATGATGAAGTAATCAAGTTTTTTGTACCATAAATGAGAAGAAATGAGTAGAATGTAGCAAAAAAACAACTTGCAAAGAAGGTGTGCAAAATTAGGCTTACCTTTTGCGTACTATTTTGTAAGTGATCATTGAAAGAGTTGAGAATGATCTGTGTCACTTTGTATTTTGTGCCAACTTCATTATTTTTGCCGTTTAGGCCTTACTTGAGAAGAAGAGAGACCAATGTAGCCAAGGACAACTTGCCGGATAAAAGCATTCATGCAATTGTCTATTGCACTTAAGTAGCCGGCAAGTCATCCTTGGCTGCAATGAGCTCTCTAAGTCTTCATGCAAGGCCCTAAGACAAACTCATGAAATATTTTTGTTTCGTTGATCTCATGTTCAATGAGATATTGTGGGTCATAAATGTATTGATATATATATAGGCAGAGCAAAGTTCATTAATTCTTAATTTAGTGCTCAATATTAATAATGTGAATTCCAAATAGGGTAGGTGGCCCTTGGGGACAGCTGAAGGCCATCACCAAAAAGTGCAAAAGCATCCATCCTAAAAAAAAGGGTACAAAAGTCTCATTGATCATCAAGAAACTTACTCGATTTGTATCACAATTTGGGGACCTAGGGCAGAGATTTGTGGGTCCTTTTCCTCTGTAATGGATTAAAGATGGCATGGAGGCCTTATGGGCTATAAATTATTTGATCGGTGCTTGTGGGAATTGAGTCTTAAGACATACGGTGCGGCGAAATTGTCATGCGCGGAGCAAGTGCCAAATTATAGTCCGTGACAAGGATTTTCGACATGTGAATTATAATCTAATGATGTGTTTTTTTCCTTTCATTTTAGAAAGTCGAATATTTATATTCTAAGTATTTAAAATTCTTATCAAGATAGAATAAAATAAAATAAAATTCACATATATATATATATGAATAAATGTGTAATGCTATTGAGGAGTGCGTAATTTTATGCATAATACCACCATGGTTAACTTTTTGCACCAGCACATCTATGTACTATTTGTTGTGCACATGTTTCACTTTTTGTGCTTAAAAGTGGACCACTTTTTCTGTACATGTGTACCAAAAAAAGGTTAAGATCTAATACTAAATTTTTGTGAACAAAATCATGTATTGGTGCAAATGATTATGTGATATTTTGGTCATTTTGCATCAAAGCACGAGAGGGTAAGATGGAAAGAGAAAGTGGGTGAATAATGTTTTCCCACCTTTTTATTAATATTTTTCAAAAAGTTTTTTTTTTTTTTTTTTTGGGAAGATATTTTTCAAAAGTTCATTTTAGAGAAAAAGTACAAATTTGAAACTTATATATATAAAATCAAAAGTGATTAATTTTCTACTAGCTTCTATGAATTAAATAATTGGAAAGAGGCGAAAATGCATCCACGTGCTTCATACCCTACATAGTCCATTCTTTTGATTTCATTGATGGGAGGTCTTGTTCCTTCATAAGAAGGTAATATGAGTGATTGTTGTTTATCTTCCTCTTTGCATGGAGAATTTTCTACAAGTGAGTTAATTGTTTGAATGAGAGGGAAAATTTTGAACTCTGTAAATCACCATTTACTTTTACATGAAAAAAATAAATAAAATACTTAGCAAATAAAAAATAATAATAATAAAATAGGAATGAACATTTTTAAGAAGAATATAGAGTTTCGTTAGAGAAAAGAAAACGAAAAATAGTTAATTGGTTTTAACTAACAATAACAAGAAGCATTCCTTCAAATTTAAAGTAGCTATATATATATTTTTTATTTATTCTATTTAATCTCAAGGAGTTGATTCCAAGTTCTGTGACTTGGTGTCTCGTGAAAGATCACTTTGCACGAGTTCTATAGATCAATTAAAACGAAATTCCGAACACTTCGATTATCGAAAAGAAAACAATAAAAAGAAGCAAGTTTTTGAACACTCAACCTCTTATTTGGGTATGAAAGATCATATCATCCGAACGGAGTCGATTGTAAAAAACCAAAATTCAGTAGAAGAAATGAGCCCTTATTTTTTAATTTTTTATTATTATTATTTTTTTTTGGAGAGAACCGCAGAACAGAGAAATTGAGCATTAGTCCATGGCCAGCTGAGCTGGTGACCGACCTATATAGTGTAGGCCAGGCAGGGTAGTTGATATGGGGATTGGAATATAGCTGTAATGCATGCATATGTGATTCCATGATGAAAAGGGGGTGGGGCTGATGTTCCCTTGTACCTTTTTCTCAAAGCATCTCTATCTCCTTCATGATCTCCTTGTCTTTGTTGCTTCCTAAAAAGGGATATATCACTTCGGTAGGACGGTGAGCTCTGGATCACTTGTTAATATGATAAAATTTAACATTTGAAATTTGTTTACCTTGTACTTGTGCTTTGGCTCAATTGATTTTTGCACTTCGTTCTACAGTTGACAACTTGAATTCTAGATAAACAAATTTTGTGGGATACACTTACCCGCTATACGTGACTCGTGAGGTATTGCGTGTGAAAATAGAATAGATTCTTGAGTTTTTTTTCTCCTTCCGAGAAAGCATTCGTTCTTCCTTCTTCACATCTCAAAAAATTTCAATTGGTAAACATCATTCTGTTTGTGTGCGCGTGTGAGAGAGAGAGAGGAGAGGAGAAGAGAGGATGTTAATACAAAACAATGTCAAATGTTATATGAATACCTTTTAAATATATATAAAAAATATAAGCAATAAAAATGACTGGATCATATGTGCCAAGGTAAGGGGCTGGGTTCTAATATGTTCCGGTTTCGAACCCCAACATCCCCCATTATAATTCTTAATTTAATCGGTGTTGTAGTTATGGGGCCGGTTGCAGCACTCTCGATTTGTAACTTAGGACTTTACATATCAATAGGAATATGATTAGAAATACAAGAATGAAAGAGAGATAAGAATATGTAGGTTTTCTAAGTACAAAGTGGTAAACATTCATTCTTCCTTCTTCATTTCTCAAAATATTTCAATTGGTAGGCAGCGTTTTGTTTGCGTGTGCTTGTGTGTGAGAGAGAGAGGATGTTAATATAAAACAATGTCAAATGTTATATGAATACCTTTAAAATATATATAAAAAAATATAAGCAATAGAAATGACCGAATCATATGTGCTAAGGAAAGGGGCTGGGTTCTAATATATTTCGGTTTTGAACCTCAACATCACTATTATAATTTTTAATTTAATCGGTGTTGTAGTTGTGGGACTGGTTGCAGCACCCTCGATTTATAACTTGTGACTCTGTCTAAGGGAGTTCCTAATTCTCAAAAAAAAAAAAAAAAAAAAAAAAACTAGAGAGGAGATCTGGTGGACTCTACATTTCAATAGGAATATGATTAGGAATACAAGAATGAAAGAGAGATAATAATATGTAGGATTTCTACCGTACTAAGTGGTAAAATTTTTGGTCCCATGTGGTGTTTTTATCTACTTATTTTGTTTCACTTGAATGTAACTTCATTGATAAAAACAACTAGGCAAATTTCTAATAATAACTATTGTCTTTGAGCTTTATAGACGTACGTACAGTAGCCTATTTTTGGATGCCGACCATGGATTCTACTATCCTTCTGCAAGCACATGCTATAAGTGAGAATGAGACTGATCAAGCCTCCACACTCTTTTTCAACGAAAATGTGGTTTTTCATTTGTTTTATGAGACTGAAGATTCAATCGTATTAGTCAATAATTTGATTTAATTTTAGCTGAAGTTTCAAAAAATTAATAGTCCAGAAATTATTAATATACGAGGAAACCACCAAAATTATTAACAAAAAATGAGACCATATTTTTTCTACTTTTTATTTTTAGGGAAAAGATTTCGACTTTTTTAAGAACAGGTACAGGCCGGTCTAACAACAATGATTCAAAGTGATTATGTTTACAGGAATTTGTGAAAATTCAAGATCCAACTCCTATCATTGAAATTGATTCAGTACAGTGGTATATCAACCATCATACCCAATGAAATTGAATCTTCTAACTGGATAAAAGCTATGGAGAGCTACTTCTCCATTGTTACGAAATGCTCAGTGCATATTGATCGTGCATTTTCATGACTAAAATTATTCATTTAAAAACAAATTAGTGGCAAACCATACCGTGCTATAAATTGGCCATATCACAGTTTGGTGGATATTTTTTCTTTTTCATTTGTATTTTTAGATGGTTTTGGAACTTTGGAAGTTGCCTTTTTCAAAGCTTCATGTTTTGTTAGGGATTGTTTTCCTTTGTTGTTATTAGGCATGGTTTAAATGAAACGTGACTTATGAAAAAAAGAAAAAATAAAAAATAGGCCATATCATATATGTACTAATTTAGAGTGTTTTTTTTTTTTTTTTTTTTTGATAGGAAGGATTTGGAATGGATCACTTGTTAATATGGTAAAATTTAGAAAATTGAAGGCTTGTTTATTTGACGGTAATAACATGACTCATATGGTCGTGTCAACGAATATCTATCTGGATCTATTATTTTTTTTTTTTGTAAATGAGTGAAACAAGCTGCAAAAATAGAATATTTAATTGCGAATGCAAAGATTATTGCTTGATTTATATTGTAAAATAATGTAAAATATTATATATACGTGTGTGTGTGCGCGCGCGCGTGCGTGTTTGTGAATTATTAGAGTGATTATATATACTAGCGAAGATCATTGCTTGATTTAACGATAAAAAGTTTGAGCAAGGGTAACATTAGCACAAGTTTAAATAAGTAATTACTTTAACCGTGCCATAGTGGGACTATAACCTTCTAACACCCTTTTTATATGCAAACAAGAGAGACATAGTCTTGCTCACCAACTGAGAGAAGGGAACTCATTCTCTCCGTTGCCATTAGGGCTTACTCACCGGAATTGCTACTGAATAACTTAAATTAACGGTTTAGCTTTAGCTTTTGGGTTGGCCTGCTTGGGCTTCTTTGAGTTCTTTGGGTTGGCCTTCTTGCCTTTGTTTGCCTTAATAGTGGGCTGTTTTGGCAAAAGGCCTTTTATACAATTTGCTTAAACTTTCAATATATATATATATATATATATATATATGAATAGAAGTTGGGATGTCCAATTCCAAGATTATCACAACTAATGGTTTGATGCCCAAAAGATGAAAAGCCAGGGTGTGGAGGGAAAAATCTCCCTCTAATGAGATTTGTACACGTCATCGCAATATAAATACCCATCAAAAATGTTAGAGGCTTATCCTGCTCAAAGCCCATTCCAAGCTCGTTGGTAGCCTAAAATCATAAGGCACTAGCCTAAGGTCGTAGTGAATTGATCTTTGTAGCAATGCTGAAGCCCGAAACAAGAGATCCAACCCGTTAACAATGTCACATGGATAAGATTACTTATGGCCCAAATCCATTGAAAGGAAATTAGTCCTATTAGAAGAAGGATACAACAAAGAAAGAAACTACTACACAAGGAAAATTATACAAAGGAAGGAGCTCTATTTGTAAAGAATTTCTGTAGGGAAAGAATTGGAGGACAAGCAATGCGAGTCCTACTATAATTCAACGATTTTTTATGTATAAATAGAGGCCCAGACCTCTAATAAAAGAATCAAGCAATTCTACGCTTCTTTATACACTGTTCTTATTTATTTTTATTGTTTTTGAATGAGTTGTTTTATTTTTCTCAATCATTATTGGTTGAGCGAAATTTTGCACCTACACTTTGGCACCGTCTATGGGAATAGTGTGCAAATATATTCTCACTCTTGTTTCAAGTGAATCCTGCTACTACCATCTGGAATGTCGAACGGAGGATCTTCAACAGATCAACAGACGGAGTTGATGCAGAAGATGCGTGAAGAGTTTCTACACCAGTTTGACATACTTCGTCAAGCAAACGAAGTTAGCGTAGCTCAGATCGCTTTGCTTCAACAGCAGAATAACACTTTGAAAATGGCGATGGCTCAGTTGGCACCACCGCCACCACCAGGTGATACGACAGCACCTCCTAATCAGAATATTCCTCTAGGTAACGGGCCTCAACCTAATGGGGCACGACCTAATGAGGCTCAGCCAAATGAGGTTCAGAAACAGCAGAGGGCAAGATCCAAGGCAGTCGCTTCAGACAACTTCCCTCGTCGCACGCAGGACGAGCAAGCCGTGTCTAGCCATAAGCTCACAGTATGGTCCAATGATATTCTAGATGGTGCAGGTGTTCAGGATGCCTTTGATGAGAAAAGACTCCTGAAGATTCAGACACCCGCTGAGATGGCCAAAGAGCACAAAAACTCCCTGGTGAAGACTCTTTTCACTGACGATGTGTATATGGTTGAGAGGCCCAAGAAATTTATCATGCCTTCTTTTACTCAGTTTGACGGTACGGGAGATCCTTCTCGGCACCTGAATCATTACGCCCAAAAGATGGCTTTGGATGACAGTAATGACCTTTGGATGTGTAGAGTTTTTCCTACCAGTTTGACAGGAGCAGCACTAGAGTGGTTCAGGAATAGGCCACACAAGTCCATCCCGGATTACGTAACTCTGTGCACCATGTTCCTAGAACAATACTGCGGAAATAAGAAGCAAAAGAAGAGTATTGCTAGCCTCTTCACCGTAAGGCAAAAGAAAGGAGAAACACTGCAGAATTTCTCATCTAGATTCAACATGGAAGCCTCGGAAATAGTAGACTGTCATCCCGCGACTGCTATAGAAACATTTAAACTTGCAATGATTCAGGGGACGAAGTTTCATCCTTCTTTGGTCAGATATTTTCCTCCCGACATGCAGACTCTCAATGCTAGGTCCAGATCTACATCCGGCTCGAGGAAAATGTAGCCCACCGAGCGTATCACGCCACCCTTGTGACAGTGGAGAACAAGCCTCGGGAGAGAATTCTAAATTCAAAAATCCAAAAAAGCCAGCGCACCTCAACGCCGATCACCCAGGCACCTGAGAAGAGGCAAAGGATAGAGGAAGGGTTTACACCTCTCCAAACTACCTTGGCTCTGCTCTTCCAAGAGAATAAGATGAGGTTCACAGCCCCACAGCCAATGAAGCAAACCCTGGAGCAGAGGGACAAAAGCAAGCATTGCGCTTATCATCGAGATTACGGGCATTCAACCAATGATTGCAGATCCCTTAGGCGACAAGTGGAAAATATGATAGCCAGAGGTGAGTTGGCAGATTACCTCATGACGAAGGAGTATGTGAAGCCCCGCGAGGTCTATCCTCGCAAGGTAGAAGGTACTCAAGTAAAGGTCATTCATGCAATACATGGCAGATCTGAAGATGATCAAGAGTCTGAGGAGGTATACAGATCCAGATTGAGGGCAACCCATAAGCTCAGGAAGATATCCTCTGTTAATGCTATCGTTTCAGGCAACATCAGTATTGGATTCGGCGATGGCGACCTATCCAGAGTTCAACTCCCCCGCGAGGATCCATTGGTCATCAGTCTTTTAGTGGTGAATTGCATGATCAAGAGGGTTTTAATAGACCCAGGAAGTAGTGCCAACATTATCACAAAGGCGGTATTTGAGCAGCTAAAGATCCTGTCATCATCTATTCGACCTACCTCCAGCCCATTGATGGGGTTCGATGGCACAAGAGTAGATCCCCTTGGGGTAATAGACTTATCCGTAACTGCAGCGAAGAGGACTTTGAAGGAGAACTTTGTTTTAACAGAGATCCACCCTTCCTATAATCTCATCATGGGAAGAGGCTGGATACACCGAATGAAAGGAGTTCCGTCCACCCTTCATTAGGTGATGCGGTGCTTATCTCCGGACGGAAAAGAGGTAATTAATCTATGGGGCGATCAAGTCACTGTGAAAGAATGCTATATGCTGATACAGGCTGAAGCAAAGAAGGTGTCTAGATAGCCTCAACCAGGCATGGCTCCCAGAAGTATACCCAAATAACAATTACAGAGCCCTCTGCCCAAGTATCTTAAGGTAGAGGAGGAAGAAGAAGCTGCGAAGCCTACCGAGGAGATCCTCAAAGCCATAGAAGTTATCCTCGGCGACCTCCAAAAGATCACTTATTTAGGCTCTTCTTCCACATCTGAAGAAAAGGAAGCATTAATTGATGTCATTCGGAGCAATGCAGATGCTTTTGCATAGGATCATTCGGACATGGTAGGGATCGATCCTTTAGTCTCCTGCCATAGCCTGAAGGTGGATCCGGAGTTCAAACTGGTTAAGCAGAAACACCGAAGGTTTGCCCCTGAACGCAATCGCATTATAGCTGAAGAAGTGAACAAGTTGTTGCAAACAGATTTCATCCGAGAGGTGCAATATCCCCAATGGCTGTCAAACGTGGTGGTCATCCAAAAGAAGAATGGGAAGTGGAGGGTTTGCATAGACTATACCAACCTTAACAAAGCCTGCCCTAAAGATAGCTTCATTTGCAGAAGATAGATCAAATGGTTGATGGCACTACGGGTTACGAGAGACTTACATTCCTCGATGCGTACTCAGGATATAATCAGATTCCTATGAATCCAGAAGATGAGGAAAAAATTGCTTTCATTGTAGAAAAAGGGCACTTATTGTTATAGGGTCATGCCCTTCGGGCTGAAGAATGCCGGGGCCACTTATCAACGTCTTGTTAACAAGTTCTTTGACAATTTGTTAGGGAAGACGGTTGAAGCATACATAAATGACATAGTGGTCAAAAGTGTGAAGAAGGAAGACCATCCGAAGCACCTCCAGGAAGTTTTCAATACTTTGAAGAAGTACAACATGAAACTGAATCCTTCCAAATGCTCCTTTACAGTATCATCAGGTCAATTCCTTAGCCATATAGTGAATAAGAGAGGGAAAAAGGTAAGCCCAGCTTAGGCTAAGACCCTCATGCAGAATCAGGAACTAAAAACTCGTAGGGAGGTGTAAGTTCTTACCGGTCGGATCGCAACTCTCAGCCGGTTTATATCTCGATTATCAGATAAGTGCAATATATGGGGACCACAGCAGTAAGTGGCCCTCAACCAATTGAAACGATATATGGCCGAACCTCCAATTCTATCTGCTCCAAAACCTGAAGAAGTTCTTATTATGTATTTAGCAATTTTTAGCATAGCGACAAGCGCAGTGCTAATTAGAGAGGAAGGAAAGAATCAATACCAATTTTCTACACAAGTAAGACAATGACAGACGCAAAGACACGGTATAGCAAAGCAGAGAAAATCATCCTAGCCTTTATGCAAAGAGGAAGCTTCGGCATTACTTCGAATCTCATAGCATTGTGGTACTCACCAACTACCTTATACAGGGTATACTTTCTAAGCCGGATTTATCTGGAAGAATTACCAAATGGGCCATCGAGCTCAATTCGTTTGATATAACCTATGAACCGAAGGTATCACACAAGGGACAAGCCTTAGCAGATTTTCTCCTAGAATACGAGGACACTCCCGAAGAACCAAAACTCCCTGAACCATAGTGGGAGCTTCGGGTTGATGGTTCCTCGAATCAAACAGGGGCAGGAGTTGGGGTTGCTGTATCAACACCCGAAGGCACCAAATTGTAGCAGTCAATTTGTTTGAATTTCCCTACTACTAACAATGAGGCCAAATACGAGGCGTTATTTGCTGGTCTTCGATTGGCCAGCAGCCTTCAGGTACGGTGTTTAAAAGTTTTTAGTGACTCACAACTTGTTATAAATCAAGTGACAGGTCAGTTTCACCCCAAAGAGGAAATGATGAAAGCCTACAAAGAAGCTGTGGAGAATGTTACAGGAGGATTCGATCAAGTTGAATTCCACCAGGTACCTCATGTTGAGAATGATGAAGCAAATCAATTGGCCACAACAGCGTCATCCTCAAATAAAGATCTGACTCGAATTGTGCCAATTGACATCCTGGACGAACCTAACATCAACCCTCAACAAGAGGTAATGGTGATTCCAGTCATTCCCCGAGACCCATGCTGGATTGATCTATTAGAAGCCTACCTCAAGCATGGGACTTTTCCAAACCAAAAAACTGAGGCGCAGAAGCTCAGACTCACCGTAGTTAAATATGCCATCATCAACAACCAGTTGTACCGGATGTCATTTTCAGGTCCTTACCTGAAATGTTTAAGCCCTACTGAGGCTCTTGTGGTATTGAAGCAGATTCATGACGGAGATTGCGGCAACCACTCTGGAGGCAGATCCCTCGCACATAAGGTTCGAACTCAAGGCTACTTCTTGCCATACTTGTCTCGGAATGCTGAAGAGTACGCCCGGCGATGTGATAAATGTCAGCGCTACAGTCCAATGAAGCATCAACCTGCCGAAGATTCACACGCAATAGCGAATCCATGGCCATTCGCATAATGGAGGATTGATATGGTAGGCTTTTTACCCAAGACCGTGGAACAAAAGGAATACGTGCTACTAGCTACAGACTACTTCACAAAATGGGTGGAAGCTGAGGCTTATTCAAGTGTGACCCATGAGTAGGTAAAAAGTTTCTTTTGGAACAACATCATTTGTCAGTTTGGGGTACTAAAGTCATTATGATGGACAATGGTAAGAACCTCGACAATAAGAGTAGAAGAAAATTCTTCGCTGAACATGGAATTGTACAAAAGCTAGCTGCAGTCAGTCATCCACAAGGGATTGGACAGGCTGAAATAACTAATCGAACCATTTTTAGTTGTTTAAAGAAGAAGTTGGAAAAACTCAAAACAAAATGGTACGAGAATCTCCCTCAGGTGCTTTGGGCGTATCGAACCACTCCATGGCGGCCCACGGGGGAAAGTCCATTTGCCATGGCCTATGGTTCCGAAGCTGTGATCCCAACCGAGGCAGCAGTTCCTACCCTTCGGACATTCTTGTTACTTGATGGATACAATGGGCAGCAGCTTGAACACAGCCTCGATCTCCTGGACGAGAAGAAGGATGTTGCAACAATTAGGCTTGCTTCATATCAGCAACAGTTGCGCAGCAGCTATAACAAACGCGTCAGGTTCAGGAGCTTTGTGGTAGGTGATTAGGTTTTGAAGCAAGAGACAGCTCATATAAAGAAACTGGAACCTAATTGGATCGGACCCTATAGGGTTACCGAAGTAGTGGGGAAGGGAGCATACCATTTAGCCGAAGCTGACGAGCGTTCCATTGTGCGTCCTTGGAATGCGATACACCTTAAAAGGTACTACCATTAGATAAGTTAGTCAATTTTACAAGAATTTCTTCACAAATAAGGCTGTTTATGCTCACAGTCAACCAATTTATTTCTTTATGTTATTTCTATCATATTCGATGTGGGAAGCCATTGTGCTTCATTTATTTCTTTCCATAAAAATGGGGGCCATACTAGTACCCTACCCTACAATTATGCGATTTTCATGCAATTTTTATATGCTAAGATGCATTATGCAATTTTTATGCCAAGAAGCAATGCCAAAACCAAGGTATCAAGATGTATTCTTCACAATGAATCTTTTTATTTAAAGCTTTCTATCCCACATCGAATAAGAGTAGAAAAGGGATGTAGTTGATATATACATAATCCACTACGTCTAGCCGCTAAGAAAAGAGTCTCAGTAGAAGAAAGTCCCCAAAAAACGAATAGGAAACTTCCCAGCCACTGTTACTCGCTTTCTTGGCCTCCTATCATTTTTGAGTCTTCGGCCTCATAACAAGTTATTCTAAAAATAAAAAATAAAAAAAATAAAATGAATATATATACGAATGGTTCAGCTAACTTTTCCTCAAGCTCAGCACCGAGGAGTCATTCGCTTCGGACCCTAAGTGTCCGGCTCAGCACGCCTCCCCTCAGGCTCAGCGCCGGGGAGTAACTCACTCGTTACGGACCCTAAGTGTTCGGTCCAGCAAAATTTCCCCTTAGGCTCAGCGCCGGGGAATAATTCATTCGCTACGGACCCTAAGTGTCCGGTCTAACAAAATTTCCCCTCAGGCTCAGCGTCGGGGAGTAATTCATTCGCTACGGACCCTAAGTGTCCAATTCAGCAAAATTGCCCCTCAGGCTCAGCGTCGTGGAGTAATTCATTCATTACAGACCCTAAGTGTCCGGCTCAGCACGCCTTCCTTCAGGTTCAGCGCCGGGGAGTAATTCATTCGTTACGGACCCTGAGTGTCCGGCTTAGCACGCCTCCCCTCAGGCTCAGCGCCGGGGAGTAATTCATTCGCTAAGGACCCTAAGTGTCCGGTTCAGCAAAATTTCCCCTCAGGCTCAGCGCCGAGGAGTCATTCGCTACGGACCCTAAGTGTCCGGTTCAACAAAACTTCCCCTCAGGATCAGTGCCGAGGAGTCAATTATCTCAGGCTTTAAATTACCTGGGACAAATGTCTTGTAGAGGTCATACTCACTGGCTCTAAGCTCAGTAGTATGAGCCACAAGGTTGTCCCACATTGAAAAAATACAAGAAGAAACAAGTATATACATATTTACTTCACACAAATCCATTTCAAGAAGGGTCCCTTAAAGGTTAAATCACGAAAGGGAAAAACAATCCTCCGATATCAGGTAAACTGTCAAAGGAGATTCCTTCTTTACATCTCATTTATTTTTGCTTCGGACTATAACAAATCAAGCAGGGTACTTTCCTTAAAATGTTCACATTCAACAAAGTGTGTGCAATATTAAAGGCATTCAAGAATATTCAGTCGAAGCAAAATTAAGGCGTTATAGCCTAAGAAACATAGTTATGTCATTCCAAAAATTGTTTCATTACAAAAAAAAAAAAAAAAACGAGGTTACATGATCCTACTTCCTCTTCAGATCAAACGGAGCAGATTCAAAAGCGTCCACCACAGT